AAAACATTGCTAACAGAAGGCTTTAATACATTGTTAATTTATACTGCTGGCAAAATTTCACCAGTCTTTAAAGTATTTAGGGCTGTGCAAAAAGTAATTACGATTAATCGCATCCAAAATAAAAGTCTGTGTTTACATAATATATTTGTGTGTGCTGTATATAATTATTTTGTATATATAAATACATATGCATGCATGTATATATTTAAGAATTATTTGCGCTTAAATTCTGTATATACATATATATATATATATATATATATATATATATATATATATATATATATATATATATATATATATATATATATATATATATATATATATATATATATATTTATTTATTTATTATTATATATTTATATATATATATATATATATATAATATAAATTCGGTATATGTATATATATATATATATATATATATATATATATATATATACAGAATTTATATTATATAAATATAAATATTTTATACATGAATAACACATTTTCTTAAACGTACAGTATGCAATTTTTGGCCACCAGGGGTCACTCATTTAATATAATAAAAAAAGACGTACTTTGATGACGTCGGGAAAGAGCGTGGGCTCACGGGAGTTCTTATCGCTGTCTTTGGTTAGACAGTTATTTAAGAGTAATGGACATCTTTTTAATTATTGTGAATTCCTGAACCATTATTAGATCCCTGTAACTGCTAAAGAATTTGCAGTAGTATTTGATGCCATTCCCAGTGGCCTTATTCAATTTTTTTCATGCAATGCATCTTCTGAATCTATCTCCATAATACCAATCAATTAAGTATTGATGGTGTAAAAATTATAGATACAAAATTTTATAACTTTTTTATTAGAGAATTAGAACTACATTATTGCTTAAATGTAAACCATTTTGGAACTCATTGTATAATCCGATTGAATGGAAAGAGGTCTGAGTCTACCCAGTAAATACTGTCTTACTAATAAAGTTCAAGAAATTACATATAATACTATTCATTTGATTTATCCAATGAGACAAGTAGTCTCAAGATTTTTTAGAGATATGGAGACAACATGCACCCTTTGTAACACAGAAGAAGAATCAATAAAACATTTATTCTTTGAATGTGTATTTACCCAGCTGTTTTGGATTGATGTTGAATATTTGATATTTAAATTCACAAAATTAAAGATTCGTCTATCTAGCAAAGATATTTTTTGTTATACAAAAATAAAAGTGTGGAGCAAAATTTGGTGATTAACTTAATAATTATGTATGGAAAATACCATATTCACAAACAGAAATGGACAAATAATAAACCTAACATTATATTATTAAAATTGAGCTTAAACATTATATTGAAGCCCTAAAAGATGCAAGAAATAAAAAAGGGAAACGGATGTATACTATTTTTGAATCCCTTTCTTTTTGTAATTTTTTGTAATGATGTTTCCCCTGTATAGTTTAATTTTTTTCTTTTTTTTTTTTCTTTATGTATGTCTATTGTTTATTTGATGCTATTATGAATGTAATACTATGTGATCCTCTGTTTCTGTATGTTATATCCTATTGTTCTTGTTATGCAAAAAAAAAAAAAAAAAAAAAAAAAAATATTGTTATGGCTGTCAATGACAACCAGCTCAGCTCATGACATGACATCATCGTTTCACAAAATATACGGATGCATCTCTCTGTAGATTTAGCTTGTCAAGAAGCTTTAAATGCAACCCCAATGTTTACCTGTGTCATGCTTCTCCTGTCCCAAACCCTTCTCGGGTCATATTTTTCACCCGTACGTTTGAGCTTTACTGAGCTGGCTGTAGCAGCAGAATGTACATGCAAAGCGTAATCGTGGTCCATAACTATAATACGGACGAATATAAATATGTTACGCAGAGCCGGCCCGAGCCTTTTGGGGGCCCTAAGCAGAATGTAATTTGGGGGCCCCTCCCACGACGCGGAGTCACCTGTGTTTGACGATTATTGACACAAATGTCACGCAATAATGATACATTTTAAACGAATAGGCCTACACTTAGGTTATATTAGGCTACAACAAAATTAATAGGCCTAGGGAAAAAAATAGATGCCTAATTCAATAAAAAAAATTTAACAGTCTCAAAACTGTCTCAAAACATATAAAAGAAATTATTTGCTAAAATTGTGACAAAACTGAGAAACATAAGAGCAAGGCTACAACAAGCCTATTGTTGAAAACTAAAAATATTTGGCCTACTATTTCTCAACTGTCTCAATACAGTGTAACTCTCCTCAAAAGCTTTATTATTATTATTATTATTATAGTAACAGACTTTGTTAGATATTACATGACATAATCCAACAAAGTCTGTTACTATAATACCGGTAATAATGTTCTGGCGCTCGTTGTATGTGTGTATGCAATGTATTTTCCCCCTCGGGGCTTGCCGTAGATGCGTCTTTTTGCAGGTAAAATTTGTGGCTACTAATGAGAATTTTTAATAAAAGTATATTAAAAACTTTTCATTTAGATCCTAAACATTCATATTAACGTGTACAAAATGTCATTATGACCCCGTTAACAAAAAAAAACAAAAAAATGCTGTGCAATAAATAGCCACCGCAGAATGTTTCTGAGGTGAGAGTTTCAGAAGGATGTTTCTCAGAATAATGACGGGTTGTGTCTGTTCCAGTGAACTAAAAGTTCCGCTCTGCTCCTCTGGTGAAAACTAATTAAGCTAATTCTTATTTGAGTGGAATATGTATTTACAAGATGAATTTAGACTAAGTGGATTAGCCTTTACGCTGTGATTGTATGTACTTTAAGAGAGCATTGTATTAAATAGTCAAAGCTGAAAAACCTGGAAGAGAGAGTTAAGTCTCTAAACCATGTGTGTGTGACTAATAAGAGTAAAATCACATTCTACACTGTACATGAATTACTAAGCTGTTAAAAGACAAAATGAGTCACACTTAGCATATCAATGTTTCTTATGTCACTTATTAGGGCAATTAAATATGTCACACCCTTTGTGCTAGTTCTTTTTTTTTTTGGTAGTTCTGCTGAATTAGTCATGATAAATGAGTAAATTTAGCAGGACTAGGCTATATGTAATATTCTAATTAATTATCAAATATTTCTATATGTCAATACTGCTAAAAACAAACAGACATGCACAGTTTGTGAGCTTATGAGTGATACGGATATACATATTCACACATTTACACATCCTAGTACAATATTTGCATATATGCCAATGAGGCTACATATCGTAAAAAAAAACCACAGGCCAAAAGTGCTGAACTAGATCATTATCAGGCTGCGCAGATGCTTGCTGAGATGCATCACCTTTATCTTACAACTTAACATGACTTTGAAAGGTTTGGAGAGAATGGCCATATGTAAAGAGTATCACTAAAGAGAGATTTAAAACAGAGATTTATTAAGACTAAAGATTTTCTTAAAAGATTTTTAAAAACTCATATGGACAGATTGGAATGCAAACCAAAAAAAAAAAAAAAAGATCTAAGTGGAAAAAACCTCACATCAATGTTAGACAGAACGTAGATGTCACAGTTTGATAATGAGAGCAGAAAGGGGCTTTCTTTTTTTTGGTTTAGACTTTGTTCCACAAATAACGGCACGAAATAAGCCACTAAAAAAAGAGAGATAAAACTTGTGTGGGATCTTAATAAAATAAAATAGATAAAAAGATTTAATACAATATAAGCAATCTGATAATCATCTAAATAAATGAAATATTATGTATAGAAAATAAATATTAGAATTTCATTTAATTAAAATTTATTATAATAATGTTTAAATAACGTTTAAAATGAAATCATAATTTGTTCTTTAATTAGTAGGCCTATTATTAGCAACATGTCAATGATTAATTAGTACACATCATATTTAGATAATAAATAATTATATTTAAACATGACTATGAATATTCATATTTGTACCTCCATAATGCCATGAAACGGATGCATATTCCACTGTAAAAAAAATCCCCCTATTTCAACTTAAAAAATTAAGTTATGTTCTACAGTATCTATTTTTTTAAATACAAGGCAGTCTGATAACCATCCAAATAAATCAAATATTATGTAGAAAATAAATATTAGAATTGTACTTCATTTAAACTTATTAGCAGTATAAGAATAATAATCATGTTTAAATTGTTCAAAATTAAATCAGAATTTGTTCTTTAATTATTAATTATTAGCAACATGTCAATTATCAAATAGTACACATCAAATTTATATAATAAATAATTGAGTTTATACATGACTATATATTCATATTTGAATCTGAAACATTCATCCGTATTCATTGTAAAAAAAATCCCCCTATTTCAACTTAAAAATTTAAGTTCAGTTCCACCTTAATTTTTTTTATTGAATCAGCTTGTTTATATACCATTTGAACTTAAAATATTTTAAACTGATTTGAGTTTAATATCATATAACTTATTCAATAAAATTTGAAATTGCTTAAATGATTTTGATGAGTTGATCTTATCACTTTTTGGTATGAATTAACTATTGATCTGAAAGTTATCACAAAGAATTATAATTATTTACTTCAACACGTTTCCATAGTTTAATATTTGCTCATTGAAAATAAATGCAGTGGGGTTTAAACCTTTTTTCCTACGCAAATGCTGACGAGTGGAAAAAGTCGCATTATGAATTTACCACATAAGCCCATAGAGGAATTATAGTCTTTGTTTGGACATAAAGGAATGTTAAAAAGTAAAACAAATAAATAAAACAAGTAGGCCTATGACTCTTTCTTTTAATGAGCATCAGCAAAAAAAAAAACTGTACAGTCTGAAGATGAGTATCATTGCTGTAAACTTGTGACACCAGCATTTTATCACCTCACAATCTCTTCTTGCAAAAAGCCAAAAGCAAATGTGATTATCCGTGTAGGCTTTGAAGAAGAGGTGGGGGCTGCAATACATGTCCTTATCTAACCACACATCTGACTATCTATATCTTGCATCACTATCGAAAGCATTTAAAAATGCGAAGCAGAGAATAATTGTCTCAGACATCTACAACTATTGTCAAGCTTCCAGATCAACTGCAGATCAGAAACCATGAGGGCAACTTCTCTGTATTTGGTGTTTGGACTGGTCCTGCTGATGGCTTGGACCTCTGAGGCTCAGCGTAAGTTCTCTTGAAGAATAGTTTTGCTCTTGAATAAATTATCATCTATATGGACATATAGGCTATTGTAATTGCACATAAATATAAAGTGATATTTCATGCTTGAAATTGATCGGATTAGAAACAAAATAATTGTACAGTAGCCTATATTTTGCAAGTTCCTCGTTGAACTATGTGTTCTCAAGTTTTGAATATATATATATATATATATATATATATATATATATATATATATATATATACACACACACATGAATGAAACCCAGAAACCAATATGCTGCTGACCTGAAGATTTTGTAAATTAACATAAAGAACTATAAAGTACTTTTATTTTGAAGGACGTATTTCAACACATTACTATTTAATGTATTTTGAACAGGTTTAAATATGGTTAATCTCTCCTAAAACAAATATATATGTATATATTTATAATTTTATCTCATCAACAGCTCAGGCTGCAGTACCTGAGAGGTGTTGCTTCGATTTTATCGACTTCCAAATACCAGGCAAAAAGATTATGAGTGCTTTGAGGACAAGTTCACATTGTCCTATCCCAGGCGTTGTGTAAGTAGGCATTTAACTCTAAAATATAGGCTAGAATTTAGAAAAAAATGTCATATGCTCACTTTAAAATGATAAAAAAAAATATTTTGCGTTTGCTAGCAATGACAAAAACATTGAATATGCACTTTTTTTCTCCTTAGGGTAACGACACCTAGAACCGAATTCTGTGTGAAACCAGACGAGCCTTGGATAAAGAAGATGCTGTAATGGGGCAGCAGAAACAGAAATGGAAACGCAACATCATTCTACACAAAATAATACTGTTATTGCTTCATACAACTGTACTTTCTTATTATTTTTTTGTATCTCCTGATCAATAGCTACTGCAAGATGAAAGTTAAACCTGTTGTCATTTCACGCTCTATCTATACAAATGAAAATTAAAATGAACAGAGATACCTGGTGTCAGACTCACTTTGTGTTATATCCATATCGGCCTACAAAATATATCAAAAATAGTGAAAAAGACAGAATGACTCTCATTAGCATAACAGCTTACGTTTAATATTGTAGTTAGGCGGAAAGAGTAACAGACAAATATATGAAAAATAACAACAACCGGAAGTAACAGGGCTGCAAATAAAGAAACACGTTTGCGTAAATAGAACACTACAAAAGGAGTGTGTGATCAGGTATAGCCAACAATAGGTATCTTTGTTGCCCTTTCTATAAAGTAAGATATATTTTTAAAATATAATGAACTCTAGAACAGCCCTGAAATGCCAAGTCTCCACAAATGAAATGAAACAAACTCTCAGTTTATCTTAAGTAATGCATTTTCGTATAAGTACAATTACCACATTCAACCAGAATATTTGAGTAGCCTACGATTGTAGGTCCAGGAAACTCAGTAGAGGAAGGGGTTAAAATCATATAAGTGTTTATCAAACCTCAGATCAGTTTTTATGTAACGTCAAACCAGACAATATTTAAAATATGAAGCAAATGTGACTCTCTCAGACATCTCCAAAAACTCTTCAAAGACTGCAGATAAACTTACGATCAGAAACCATGAGATATCTTGTGTTTATCTGGGGGTCTGGACGGTCCTGCTAATGGCCTGGACTTCTGAGGCGGTTCTCTTGGAGGGTTGATTAGATGTTTTTGGGTGTACACAACTTAACACAAGAACACAGTTGTTCTGCAGAAATCCCTCTGTTCGAGTAAAATCAGTTGTTTTCTGAAGATCAATGTTGTTTTTTTTATCTCACCAACAGCACAAGCTTCTCCAATCTCTAAAAGGTGTTGCTTCAGTTTTATAGACTTACAAAATTCCACACAACATAATGTTTTATTGTGTTTCGTCACAGCAATTTAAACAACCTTTTTCCCCTCAGGGTTTCAACATTTAAAGGAAACTTTTGTGTGAAACCAGATGCGGCTTGGGAAAGCAGAGAAATGTGAGCTTTGTCATTGAAAATGCAATGTTTGTATCCAAAATAACTTTAAGAACCATCTCCTTTCTTACTAAATACATTTTTGTTCTGTCTCATTAACAGGGGTGGTGTGACAGAACTGTCCAAATTTCATCCATGCAACCCAAGACCCGAGGCCTTTGCAAATGCCCATGCCCATGCCAGTAAACGACCCCAAACACCGACCCTGACGCAGAAAACAGTGGAGATGGAGATGATTTCACATTTTTGTAAGTTCTCTTCTCCAAATAGGCTACATAGGTCAGAAAATAGTGAAATGCTACAAAGAATCATTTAAATACTGTTCTGCTGTTTTAGGAAGAGCATTGTTGTTGTTTTTTGGTATAGGCTAATTGCTGTAAGTACTACTAAAACTCAATAAAATATAGCCTACAGTACATTTAAAACTTTTCCATGCCACAAAAATTAAGTGAATTAATTCGTGAAGACTAATTCATTGTCTGCATTTAATTCTAAAAAGATTTAAAATAATGAATGTGTTCATCTTAAAGTCCCCCTCAAGCTTTTAATGACGTTTATGTGTGGTGTTTTTAATATGCTTGAAGACAAACCATGTACAAATACATAAGTCAACACCACAAACTATCTTGCAACCAATCAGAACGTGTGATTTTCAACAAGTGGATCTCCGAGTGAGTGGAGGTCGGGTTAATTTACATATGAAGAGTTCAGATGCAAAAGCCTCTAAATGCCATTTGAAATTTTCTTCTAAAATGACCATTTTTATCAAGCTTGTATATTTAAGTTCCGTAATTTCACTTAAATGACAATTAATAGGTAATATTCATTGCCATTTAAGTGAAATTACTGAACTTAAATATACAAACTTGATAAAAATGACCATTCTAGAAGAAAATTTCAAATGGCATTTAGAGGCTTTTGCATCTGAACTCTTCATATTCAGAGAACTGCATATACTAAATGAGGCAAGGGTAGTTACTTTTATAATATATTTTAGTAACATTTTAAGGCATGAAGACATTTTTTTTTTCATTTTGGTGATCAAAGATGAATTACAAGGGACACAATTATTGACTACAGGGGGATTTAAATGATAGAAAAATGTACCGAAAAATAAAAATCTTACATTTGCTTATATTTGACTTCCTCTTCAATATTTTGAGATATAAGGCATATATATATATATATATATATATATATAGAATTGTCAGAACAAATATTGATAAGACAAGACAAGACAACCATCATCAGCATAACATCTCGAGTTTAATAATGTACAGTTAGGCAGAAAGAATAACAGATGAAGATAACAATTGGAGATTGAAAATCGTATACATGTACAAAAAATTATAAGAAAACAAACATGTCTAGAGCCATGTTCAGGTCTACTATTAAAAAAAAGTGTAGTGGTTAAAGAAAAGAGTTTTCCTTTTTTCCAAAATACTGTTCTACTAAAAACCAAACATGTACTTCAGAGCGTCTGTGTGGTTTAGCGATCCACGACAGGAAGAACTGAGTGTTCGAACTTGCATAATGACAAACCTGCAAAATATATAATAGTGTGTGAACACATGAGGCATACAGGGACTCTTTGCAATGGTCGTGCACGTTGCGGTCTATACGCTGTTTGGCATGTGATAGAGCCTGCGTGCCGTCAATCTAAACTATCCAACAGAAACAAAGAGCGCTTCGATTCTTATCAACATTTGGAATGTAAAGTGAGTTTATTATAAAGAGGTGTAAGTATGGCTAAAATAAGATACTAAACTCACTTAGGTTAAAACTGACCACCAAGCCCTGATCCAGGACCAGCTCCAACAACTAAAAAGCCAACTCTCAACTTTTAAAATGAAACAAAACTGGTCTCAGATCAGTTTCGGAATAGACTGAGGGGACATCTGACATGATCACAAATAAAAACAAAACATGAGCAGACAAATACCGAAACAGTCTGCAAATTTAAGGCAGAACGTTCGAGCAACGTCCTCAAATATTACTGTAATTATTTTATATTCATCCATATCAAAACTGACTAATTGTTTGTTATTAATGTTGACAATCATGCCATTTTGGAGGACACCAACTATGGTAGGGACACAATTATCTACGTACACAGCCTGCAAATGGTTTAAAAACATGGAAAACGGTTATTGTCGTCATTTAGCTGTGCAATAATGTTTAAACAGGTTTGTCTATGACCCCAGAGAAACACACAACATCATGTGACGCACACCAGCAGGTCTCAAACGCCATTAACCATCAATCTTTTCAACACATACATGCTTAATTCTGTATAAACTCTTTGCACATGCTTCCATCTGTCTGTCTCATTCTCCATCACATCTTTACAAACCTACTGAGACCTTCTTAAGACTAAGGGTGTGCGAATGATGTCAGCAGAGTTGAAAATGTCTGAAAACAGCCTGTTCTGTTGATATTACAAACACAGTCTTGTTTGTAATAACCAAGGGAATGTTGGTCAAGACAGACATGCACTTGACATGTGGTGTAATGTGACAGTCAACCAGAAGATGGTGATAAACTCATTTGATTTGGTGCAATGGAGTGTGCAGGAAACGTGTACAGTAGCGCTTGCGCATGTGTTTCTTATGGGGTCATAGATCATCATAGCATCAGAAGAGATGCAAGGAGTTTCTGGTTATGAGGAATGGAGCTTCATGATTTCTTTAAAAGATTTTCCCTTTTTTCTTGTTCTTTTCCATTGTCCTGAAAACAAAGAAAGACAGAATTAACCAATAGGAACCATTTCAAATATAAATTTAATAAGACAGAGTGAAATATTAGTTATTTGTAACTTTATTGTAATTACTAATATTTTCCTATTTTAGTTGTTATAATTAATACTATTTTGCCCTTATTATCCCACTGCTTTTGTTTTGTGTATTGATGCTCTGGTAATAATAGACACTACCCTTCAAAACTCTGGAAACATTAAAATTGATTAAAAAGTGACAGTAAAGACATTTATAATCTTACAAAAAATTATAATCAATCATCCTGGATAAAACGTAAGCAGCACAACTGTTTCCAACATTGATGTTTGTTGAGCATCGAATCAGCATATTAGAATGATTTCTGAATGATCATGTGACACTGAAGATTTATGATGCTGAAAATGAATTATATTTATATTAAAATAGAAAAGTTATTTTAAATGAAAATAATATGTCAAAAATTTACATTTTTATTGTATTTTTAATTAAATAAATGCAGCCTTGATATCAGCATTACCGAAACCCAAATCTTAGTAGTGAATGTATAACAGTAATCTTTATAATATTATATAAAGTATAAGTGTCTTTTTAGAAAAGATATAAACCACAATATGCAGAATATCTTGGATTTGTCTTATACATTTTAAATAATACTTTTATTACATTTATCAAATTTACCATAATCTTTTAATTATAATGAAACTGTAAGTACTTTCTTTAAAAAACAAACATTTTTGATTATAAAAGGCAAATGTGACAGTCAGCCTGCTTGAATCTACTTCTATGCATGAGTGCAGTTCCTTATTAAAAATAACTGCATTATTTAGTGACTGAATAATGCACTCTGTACAGAAAGACTTGTTTAAGAGAGAGAAAGCGGCACTGAGGAAGTGAGATGAACAGAAAGTCTCACTTTGATGCATCAAGTTTCTGCTGCTCCAGGATGCGCTGCTGGGCCTCCCAGTTGACTTTTTCCTCCTCAAACTGGCGTCTCTTCTCATCAAGCTCTTTATACTGAGCTTCTAGATTCTTCTTCATCTGTTCGTGACGCCGTTCCAACTGCGTCGGGGAAGCACAGGGATGAACTCAGTTAAGTATTTGTGATACTCCATGTTAAATGTAACTAGAAACCGAACACATACACACCTCTGCCTCAGAGTCCTTCAGTTTTTGCTTCTTTTCTTTGACCTTCATCTCAAAGACTTGCTCCATCTCGGTCTCCATCTTCTTCATCTTCATCACATGCTCCCTCCTCTCCTCCTCCATCTGGGCCAAGGGACTCCTACAAAAGTGACATTGCTACATGAAACTTTTTTTTATATGTTCAGACTAGATGCGTTAACTTCAACATGAAACGGAAGTTGTGATACTCTTTTCTTCCTGTATATCTAAGTTAAAGGGATAGTTCATTTTGAAATGAATTTTTGATATGTTTTAGCTTACCTCAAGGGCATCCAAGATGTAGGTGTCTTTGTTTCCACAGTATTTTCAATTTTGATATTTTTAGGTCAAACTGTTGTTGTCTGTCAGTCATATAATGGAGGTCTATGGGGTCCACCTCAAAGAGCATGCACAGAGAAGTCCAAATTAAACATGATTTAATGACTCGTAAATGTAAGTACGCATTGATGGCCTAAGACACGAAACGAGCGGTTTGTGTGAGAAAACGAACAGTATTTATATCGTTTTTACCTCTTGTAATCACAGTCACGTCAAAGTGATCTGAAGACACGGGCGCTTCGCTCTGTGCAAGCACCGAAAGTGCTGGAAGTGATCTCTCTCGGTTGCGAAAAAATAAATAAAAAATTAACGTTTTCTGTTGATATATCGAAATCGTCTTCCATTGCAATTTCCTGTATATCTAAATATGTTAGATATACAGGAAATAATACAATTATTATTTATATATAATAATAATAATAAAAGAGATACAATAAAAGAGGTAAAAACGATATAAATACTGTTCGTTTTCTCACACAAACCGCTCGTTTCGTGTCTTAGGCCATCAATGTGTACTTACATGTACGAGTCATTAAATCATGTTTAATTTGGACTTCTCTGTGCATGCTCTTTGAGGTGGACCCCATATACCTCCATTATATGACTGATAGACATGAACGGTTTGACCTAAAAATGTCAAAATTGAAAATACTGTGGAAACAAAGACAACAACATCGTGGATGCCCTCAAAGTGAACTATCCCTTTAAATGTTGGGCGGGACATGATTTTGTCCTTGGGGAATTGATGGGATCATTGTGAGTGACCCCATCAGAGAAGAGTTACTTTCATTAAAGATAAGGTCGCATGAATAAAAAACATTATGTGGACAAATAAATCATTTATAATAAAAACTGCAATATTCTATAAAAAAATCTGAATTGTCCATTTTGAATTCATGGAGACTAAGAGGTCTGAGATGTTCACCATCAATGTCTTGGATTGCAAGGAATCCAGGATCTCACTCACATACTCAATAGATATGTTTCCACCCAAAGTTGAGAATGTAAATTATGCGCAAAATTGGAATATCCCACAAATATATCGCAAACATGTTTCCATCCCATCTGTTCAAAAGATCAAAATCCTCACTTCCTGGGAAATTGGTGCAAAATATCTAGTAAAATGAAAGCTGCTTAATCAGGGAAGCCACCGTGGCTCTTTTCGGATCGACATCGATGGACTACCAGGAGAGATATTTGCAATATTAGAATTTATGCATTTCCAATTTCCATCCAGTAATTATTTTATGCAATAACACAAAATTAGCATAAAAATAGGTGGATGGAAACAGCTTATTACAAAAATGGAACTAAAAATAAAAGTGTCCTCGTACTTCGTTAGCTGGCCCTTGTTCTTGGTGGCATCGACCCCGTTGCAGGTGACGGCTGCTAGTTTCTTGCTGCGGTAGTTTTCATAGTGAACATTATTGGTCACGTCCTTCAAGTCCTGCATGTGAGTCCTGGAACGGCAATGGACAGTTAGCTGATAGGTTAAACGCTGATTAAAACTCTAATTCTGTTTCTTTTGCTAGAAACAGATATGAACTGCCTACACAGTATTTTACTTAATTAGCGAGTTGATGCTGGAAACCTGTCAGGACACAGTGTTAATTCACAACGAGCTCATCTCACCTGATGAGCATATTCCTCAGGACCGTGAAGTCACAGTGCTCACCGTTCTCCACTGAAATGAGACGAAACAGATGTTTTAGCCCAATGACATCATCAGAATGACTTACAAACCTTTCCAAACTTTAGAGATATTTTTTTAGATTTAACTTAAAATTTGAAAATACAAAGTTAAGCTCTTAATTAGGCACAAATTGCATATTCATGTGCAGGACTACAACATTTAATGCAGTAAAAATGTTAAGTGTAACAATAAAAGTTGACATGAAATGCATTATTTTTGGATGTATGCAGTTATGATGACCTCTATTTTGATTGAAAACTTCAGTCAAAACCATTTTTTTTATAGGGATGCTTGATATATCAATACCATATCGATTATAGGCCCATTTTTTATCAGTATCAGTCAATATTGGAAATTTGGTATATTTTTATATTTGTACATTTAGACAGTGTTTAAAAAAAAAACTTTGATAAGTGTTAAATGTAATCTTTAATAAATCTCAAAACTCATACTGTCCAATATAATTTTGTGATGCCTACATTCATACATTTATTTAGGCAAAAATTATATTGAATTTATAATGAATGGACTACTCATATCAGCCAGAATTTTAATATCAGTGCATCCCTAATCATTAAAACATTTAAAAAGAGACATAATACAGTGACAAATGAAACATTTAAAGCAAACAGGATCAGAAACTGAACATAAATTTAACAACATCAGACAAATGGAAAATCAAAAAACAAGTCAGGTGGTTGAACGAAAACATAATTTAGTATTTAGATACCAAACTGATTATGCTAAAAGGTTAAACAGTCACAAAAATAAACAACAGGTTAGCAGTTCAGACCGCTGTTATGTGATCATACACAGGTATGTATGATCAAACATCGCTGTCATCACATGGGATTCTGGAAAAGGACCAGAGACACTGGTTTCTGACAGATGGTTAAAGGATGAAACGTCTTCTGCACGTCTAACCTGCACAGTTAAGATGCTTTACCAAGCGAGAACCTTACCTATACGGAGAACTCATTCTGATTGACTGCCCCCTCGTGTCAATCATCTGCTACAACCACCTACCTGTGAGAGAGCAGTTGGAGGGGCGGGACTAAAGTCTCTCCTGTAGGAACCTGTGATTTATGGGCTACTAAGACTAAAAATGGTGTGTTGTGGGAAGGGTTACATGGCATAGCGATGACAAGCAGAGATACCAGCCAAATGGAGCTAGGGGGAGGGGCAGGAGGTGGAGTCATATGTCTAAAGGGATCATGGGATTTGTAGTTTCTTTTTTGATGGGACAGCAAGAGCAAACTCCTGATGCTGACCGGTATGAACGGGTGCTTCAAAAACACGTCCCATTTATTAAATCATATGTTAGAATAGTTTTCATCAGAGGTTAGGGTGAAAACATTAGCACTCAGTCAACCCGCATCAGAGTTCAGAGGCAAAAAATGCTTATAAATGATGATGTCAAAAGTACTATGATAAAAAATTACCCCAATACGTTTTTTTTTTGTACCCCTCAATGTATTTACATCCAAAATGGAAGTTGGAAATAAGTAATGGGAGGCATGCATGTCTGAATAAGGTTTTGTTTAAAAATAAGAGTAGGGCTGGATGATATCTCAAATATTTATGCTGTATTCGCAATGATTTTTTTGGCAATATCAAATTAAGCAACAACATACATTTTCAGATATTAGGAGATTTAATTTAGCCAAGCTTTGTGTTCCCTCCTTGTCTATGATTCACAAAATATCTGCAAGTAAACAACATTGCTGCTTATCAACATTGCCACATTAGCTTCTATAAAATAAACATGATAAAAAAATTAATTGGTCATTTTGTGGATTATATATAGAAGTTAAAAAACTGAAATTTATAATGTAGGTTTTGATTAGTGCTATCAAATCGATTAATCACATCTAACAAAAGTATATATAGACACACACATAAATATTAGAGCTGGGCAACTATTAATCGCGATTAATCGCATCATAAATAAAAGTTTGTGATTACATAATGAATGTGTGTGTAGTGTGTATAATTATTTTGTATATATAAATACACACACATGCATGTATATATTTAAAAAAAAAATTATTATTAATATATCAAATATTTATATTTATATACAGTATAATATTAATTATATATAAATTAGGGTTGTCAAACAATTAATCGCGATTAATCGCATCCAAAATAAAAGTTTGTGTTTACATAATATATGTCGGTGCACTTATTTTGTATATATATATATATATACACACACACACACACACATATACACACACACACACACATGCATGTATATTTTAGAAAAAAATATTTATATATAAAAAATATTTATATTTATATATATAACCTAAATTATATACAGTATACACATGAAATATTTCTAAAATATATACAAAATAATTATACACACTACACACACATATATTACGTAAACACAAACTTTTATTTTGGATGCGATTAATCACGATTAATCGTTGCCCAGCCCTAATAAATATAATTATATACACACACATATTATTTGTTAGACGTGATTAATCAATTTGACAGCACTAGTTATGCAACAATGTCAAATAAATGCTATTGTTTTGAATTCAAAGAATCCTTAAAAAAAATGTATCACAAAAATATTAAGCAGCACAACTGTTCTCAATATTGATAATAATAATAATAATATTAATACAGTTCTCCTGAGCCATAAATCATCATATTAGAATAATTTCTGAAGGAAGACTTGAGTAATGATATTGAAAATTCAGCTTTGCATTAGAGGAATAAATTATATATATTTTAAATATTAATGTGGAAAACTGATTTTTTTTTAATGTTATAATATTTAACAATTTTACAGTTTTTACTTTCGATCAAATAAATGCAGCCTAGGTGAGCAAAAAACTTTCAAATTGTATTATGCAACAACATCATTATTTGAGTTTTCATTTTTTTAACAAATCAGAAAAATGCATCATCAAAAGGCTGTAAAATAGTGAGACATAATTGCTTTCTATATCGTCCAGCCCTACATAGAGGGTAATTAAGAACATATAAACATGTTAGAGAGCAGCGCTGCTCTATTTTCTATGGGGGCTGTAGCTTATAGGTTTCTTCATGACTATTTATAGAGCACACATCTGACAATCAGCAAAGTTTCAGTGCAGCAAAAAGGTGGAAGAGGAAGGAGGGGGAGGCCTTAACGAAGAGAATATAAATGAAAAATGGTTTTCTTTACCAATAATGCCCTCTGTCAGTCATGGAAAAGAGCAGACAGAAAGAAAAAAAAAAGAGAAAAGAAAGAATGACACGTAAACAACTGAGGAAAAAAAAGACACACTCACTCACCAACAACAACAGTTTTGCGGGAGGAGAGAGCTTTGTAAAGAAAGAAAGGCGGGGAAAGTAAAACCACAACAAGTCACTTGTGGGCCATGATGAAAAGAAGGGGTGACGGTCTTTCCCTCTGGAAAACCTTATACGTCGTCGTCATCCCTTTTCCAGAATCCCTCAGCTGGGAGGGAGATCATCCAGCAAGCTCATGCATTTGTTTTGTATTCCCTTAGAAATGGTGCAATCCTCATGACGAACGCATGGGTCATGAAGATGCAGGACGTACCTTCTGCCACACCCCAGGGGTACTGGCGACCTCTGACCTTCCTGCCATTCACTTCGATCACCACATTGCTTCCGACCACGGCCAGAGGCATCTTCTCCTGTCGGTACACACCACATAATTACAGAGAGTCGGTATCGACCACACACTGGGAAAGTGAACGGATGCAGTGTGTCTGACGTAGGCTCGTATCGATCTTTAGATCCAAATCAGGCCGGATCAGACAACTACCGGTAAATTAGTTCTGTAGCAGTTCGCATCTCGTCAATAATAACCTCAAGCTGACCTAGAGAAACAAACAACACTGTGGATGCTGTTACAATAAAGACTTCAATGACGAAGCCATTTAGCATTGCTTTTCCAGGGTGAAATTAATTTTTTTTTAATTTAAGTAACACTGTGTGTGTTAACGTTAGAAAATCTTCACTGAATGTGTTTCCATGACTTCTCCATAGTTAGACTTTTCCAGTTGTTCACGATGTTTATATAATTACATATCGTCACTGTTGGGCAGAAATCTATATCTCCAAAACCACTAAGTTCAGGAGGTGGAAAAATAAATATACTAGGGCTGTCAAACGATTAATCGCGATTAATCGCATCCAAATTAAAAGTTTGTGTTTACATAATATATGTGGGTGCAAATATAAATATTTTATATATAAATAATATTTTTTTTCTTAAATATACATGCATGTTTGTGTATTTATATATATACAAAATAATTATACACAGTCCACCCACATATATTATGTAAACACAAACTTTTATTTTGGATGCGATTAATCGCGGTTAATCGTTTGACAGCCCTAAAATATACTAAATATAAGAATACTTCCCTTATCATTTAGTAGGGGAAAAACAGTACACCAAAAGAGTAGTATGTCCGAATGAATTGTATCCGAAGTGCGCATTTAATGGACACTTTACTATCCCATTAGGCCTTCTTTATATATACACTTCATTATATTATCAGACATTATATTATTAACGTTTTACCAAAATCAAGCTTAAAGTTAGTTAAAAGGTTTTTGACCTGGACCGACTCTTTACCTTTATCTTTCGGATCAGTTTGCTGTCCTCATCGTCCTCTGTGTCGGGAAACTCGTAGATCTTGATTTTGTGCTCTTGGATCTCCTTCATAATCTTATGATGAGAGAATAGTAGTATACTTGAGAAAAATGGTGAAATGTAAATATTTAGCAGTAAAATGTGAAATCGCACTAACACACACCTGTTTCTTGAAAAGCTGGCACTCTTCTGGTGTGAGAGTGTCGGCCTTGGCGATGAGGGGAATGACATTGACTTTGTCATGCAGACGCTTCATGAACTCGATATCAAGAGGCTTCAGTCTGAAAAAGATTCAGAATGCATTAACATTTTAGATTTGTTTTGTGAAGCTGCTTGTGGTGCGAATACATTGTTATTTAGATTAATTTATTGAAATTAATTATTGTATGCCATAAAATATACAATGGAAATATTTGTAATGCTGATATCCCTACAATACACCAAATGGTCAAATAAAATAAAATGAAATATAAATTAGGGCTGTCAAACGATTCATTGTGATTAATCACGATTAACCACATCCAAAATAAAAGTTTGTGTTTACATAATATAGGTGGGTGCATTGTGTACACATACAAAAAGATTATACAGAATGCACCCACCTATATTATGTAAACACAAACTTTTATTTTGGATGCGATTAATCGCAATTAATCGGTTTGAGGGTTAAATATACAAACTTGTATATTTAACCCTCAAAGCGTATTCACTTTATAGCCCTTAATGCTGTAATTGTGGACAAATATCACTCAGGTGTGATCATAATTTTTATTTATTATAAATGTAAATTTTTGAATTTATTTACTTCAAAAAGTAACATGTTTTCTATGTAAATTATGCTACATTTTTCTGTTTCATTTTTTAATTTTTTTTAACTACATTACAATATCATACCAATAAGTTCTTAGAGCTAAAACCTAAAGATGAAGTGACTTTGCGGTCACCTGGTGTCTTATTTTTGCTTATTTTAGAATGCTCTAAATTACAGTTTTTCCCATTCATTTCTATGGGTGCCTATTTTTGACCCAAATACAAGATTAAGGAGGGGTTTTTTTTTTCCACCCACTTAACATTGTAGAATTGAGTCAAAAAAAATTGTGTGTGTTCAGGAGGCAAACTTAGGAAAAGTAGCCAAGTCTTGTACCGCTCAGATCAAGGGAAGTATTTTTTTAAAAATAAATCAAAACTATTTTGCCCACATTTGTCCAGAATAAGGTTTTAGGGTTAAGAAAAAATTTATATATATATATATATATATAAAATATAAATTAATATAGAGTATATACAGGAAAATATTTCTTAAATAAATACAAGCATGTGTGTGTATTTATATATATAAAATAATTATACACAGTGCACCAATATTTATTATGTAAACACAAACTCGCGATTAATCGTTTGACGGCCCTAGAATAAATAAAAAAAAATTATGATTTGAATGAAATAAATAAATTGTGCCCATTACATTTTGTCTTCAAGGGATATTGAATATAGAATATAATTGTAAACAAAATAGTCCTTTGAAGTGATGCAATAGAAGTAAAAACCAGTCAGGGTCCAGAAACAGGCATGAATAAACAGATCAGAGCAGAGGGCCCACTGTCAGCACAGAGCCACCACACAGCACTGACCCTTTTCTCATCGTTTCCTTCCAAACCACAAAAATTATGTCATGGAGGGAATGAGGGCTTTGCTCTGTCTCTCTTAGCATCACTTTCACTTGAGATTCCAGACAAAGAGGCTGTTCTTTACACTGAGCTGGGTTTGTGTGTGTTTGTGTGGCTTTAGGGGGCCAGCTGAGGGGCTGTTTATACATTTCAGGAATGTCCAGACTGAAGATGCAACACAAAGGTCACAGAGATATGAATGTTGCTTCACAGTGGCGTCTCAATCACGCAAGAAAATGTGTGGGGATGGTTGAACACATAGGACCGCGGGGTCACTGATTGTAAATAGAAAAGTAAACAGGGCTTTGTTTTTTTTCTATTCAGAGAGTGTAGATGAACTAAAGAATTATAGAGATGTTTCCCACATCAGTGCCATTAAATCACACAATGGACAGATGAATTGAAAAAGATAAATATAAAAACATCCAAAAATAAAATGTATGTTTCAAGAATCCTGCAATAAATATTCCCCAAAGCAAATAAAGCATTCTTACTTCACAAAAAAAAGTCATTTTATCACAAATCTAAATTCTGTCTTAACAAACGTTCCTTTCCTCAGTAAAACTAAGCCAGATAAGCTAATAATTTTCAAAAAATAAACAAGGCAACGCCTATCAGACGTCAGGCCCAGTTTAGTGGGCATTATGTAATGCTTTTGGATATGGGTGTGGGAAGTATGCATCTCCATCTGTGCTCATATGTCCACTGTATCTCCATTTTATTTCATGCATTTCAATCAGTGCACATGTTCTGATGCCTTCATTGTACCACAGTCGTATAGTATTCACGTACAAAATTCCAACATCATCCCACTCCTGAACAAAGTGCAAAATGTGTAAATCAGGATGTGTGTGCGTGGTGCTTCTATTTTAAGCTGGTCGATTCATGCCAGGCTTCATTCGTAGAGAGTGCAGTACCTACCCGTGACCAGAGGGGGCGATGAAGTACAAGCAGCAGTGCACCCTGTTGTCAGGCATCTGCCTCCTGTTGACACGAGATTCAGCATTCAGGAAGTCTTCAAACTTACTGTCGATGTAGTTGATGACTGGCTGCCAGCTGAAAAAAGGGGAGGAGAGATGAAAGGCAAAGTCAGATGCAAAGCTAGAGAAAATAATAAATAGATCCGTAATAAATGGATTTAAAACAGGGTCTGACAGAGTCTGAAAGGCATATGAAATTAAAATCACCAGTTGCTGTTGTCCACCGCATCTCCAAAGCCTGGTGTGTCGACGATGGTGAGTGTGAGCTGAACGCCCCCCTCCTTTATCAGCACTTTGGACTGTTCCACCTGAAAGGAGGATCAGAATTATTACAACAGGATATTTGACATAGCCTGAGCAAGCAGCCTTGCCTGTTTGCTCCAGATTCACGTCATTGACCAAACATAAATGCTAACTAACCCTAAACTATAAACACTCATGTGATTGGAGAGTTTGGTTAATACAGTTTTTGCATAGGAGTTTGTATTTTTGCATTTGCATCAAAGCAAAAGTGAGCCTACAAAGGTCATAGATGACTCTAGAACATTACCATTGATGAACACTAACCTTATACAGTAGCTCATACAAAAGAAGTAAATGACTAATATAGGCATTAAAGGGATAGTTCACTTTGAAATTAATTTTTGATATGTTTTAGCTTACCTCAAGGGCATCCAAGATGTAGGTGTCTTTGTTTCCACAGCATTTTCAATTTTGACATTTTTCAGTCAAACCGTTGTTGTCTATCAGTCATACACTGGAGGCTAAGAGGGTCCACCAAAGAGCATGCACAGAGAAGTCAAAATTAAACATGATTTAATGACTCGTAAATGTAAGTACACATTGATGGCTTAAGACACGAAACGAGCGGTTTGTGTGAGAAAACGAACAGTATTTATATCGTTTTTACCTCGTGTAATCACAGTGACGTCCAAGTGATCTGAATCAATTGTGCAATGTCCAATTGAACCGAACTGAATCAGTTCAATGTTACGCCGGAAGTGATCGCTTGCGTGTGACGTCACTCAATATTTACACGGAGATTTGGGAAGTTTTACCTTTTACTAAACATATTTAGATATACCGAAATCGTCTTCCATTGCGGTTTCCCGTATATCTAAATACGTTTAGTGAAAGGTAAAACTTCCGAAATCTCTGTATAAACAAAGAGTGACGTAGGCGCGCAAGCGATCACTTATGGCGCATGCGCAGACCGAAGCGCCCATGCCGTCAGATCATTTTGTCATGGCTGTGATTACAAGAGGTAAAAACGATATAAATACTGTTCGTTTTCTCACACAAACCGCTCGTTTCGTGTCTTAGGCCATCAATGTGTACTTACATTTACGAGTCATTAAATCATGTTTAATTTTGACTTCTCTGTGCATGCTCTTTGAGGTGAACCGATTAAGGACCCCCTTCACCTCCAGTTTATGACTGACAGACAACAACGGTTTGACCAAAAAATGTCAAAATTGAAAATGCTGTGGAAACAAAGATACCTACATCTTGGATGCCCTTGAAGTAAGCTAAAACATATCAAAAATTAATTTCAAAGTGAACTATCCCTTTAACAAAGGGATAAGTCAACTAGTTGTCCAACAAATGGCTACATTGACTAGTTTATGAATCTTTAAATTCAATGCTGCTACAGACAGACATCTTCATGTTTTAAAATAGGTCAAGCTAAAAATAGTCCAACTGGAAAAACAAAAGGAGTAAGTATTCAAAATCAACTATAGTTGGTATCTTCCGATTAGTCAATGAGTAATTCAGGCAATCATGTGCATTAGGTGTATTCTAGGGCAGGCCATGTGTGTGAGGCCGCGTTGAGATGAGACACTGAAATAGTCATCTCCGATGTCACTATGATTCAGCTTCATCTCCTGAAGTTATTTCAGCTGCTTTCAGTCAAAACGCTTATTCTCACAGGCCTGGTTATTTTTGGCTGCCCCTGTTTTTCTAAAACTGCACTCTCATTCACACATGCGCAACTTTCTCGCTAACAAAAATAACCATAACCTCTCTTAGTTCTTCAAAAAGAGGAGAGAGAGGAGAGAGTTAGTAAAACTCTTCCATTCTCGTTCATGTTAGGATGTTTATGGGGCACGTCGGGCCACTTCAGTTTGCAACAACGTAGAAAAAGAAACAAATTAAAATGTAGAAATACAAAGCCACAAAAATGTCAAGACTTTCATTCGATGCAACCAGAGGGGCCCTTGTGTGGCTGCTATCACAAACACTGCAGATTGTTTTGGAATATAAATACTCTCACCGCTGTCTCCATGTCCTGCCTGGACTGACCACAGAGGACTAGACAGCCACACATCACAACATGGCCTTTGGCCAGGCTGACAAATTTATACCATGGGCATTCATGGTGGAACAGCTCAAGTGCTTCACGCAAAGGCATCCGGCCACCCAGAGGAGTGCAAGAGTGGGTTAAAACGGGTTTAAGAGGATAGCATGGACTTCATTAGGAGAGATTTCATCTGTGAAAGTAGTGATGTAGAGAATGTTAAGTCCACGTTAAGCCCAATCTCTAAAACTTAAGTTGTTTTGTGGTAAAAACAGAGAGGTGGTGCCTTGGGATGAATCTTCCGTTGAATTCCAGTGGCAGCAAACAAAGCCCTTTTGGTTTTAGATCATCTATCCAAACGAGAATGGATTTGTTTAGATGTTGGGTGACAGATGCCACAGTTTCATTCAAACGGTAAGATGATGAAAGTTGGTGTTTGGTTGGTTTCTGCACAGCGCCGAGAAAAGCAAATAACCCACATGAACACAGAGCACAAAGATAACATAGGCTACTATGAATGGAATGACATAGACAAACTGACATAGCCTTCCGTGAAGTTTCTAGTAATTCTGAAGACCTTGATTAACTGGTTCAGGTGTGTTAATTAGGATTAGAAGTAAACTCAGCAGTATAGTGGCCCTCAGGAAGCAGAATTTAAAGGGATACTCCACTTTTTTTTGTAAATAGGCTCATTTTACCACTCCCCTAGAGTTAAACAGTTGAGTTTTAAAAGTTAAAAGTGGAGTGTCCCTTTAACATCCCTGTTTTATCGCAAAATAAGCATGGCAGACAAGTTCTTGAGATTTTTATTTTACCCATTTAAGTAGGCTAGAGCAACTTGAATGATTGAGTAGCTTTTTTCAAGATTGCCACCAAGTCAATAGTCTTGCTTTAGAAAGGATTTGTCATGTCATCCAAGCTCAACCAAGCTTCAAAACAACTTTGATCTGAATCTAAACCGTGAACTTAGTCTTGAGTGCAGCAAAGACACAGAGATTGTTTGTTCATCATAATAAAAGAGAAACGAGAGTGGCTGCACTTAAATACCAGAAAGGGCTGGGCCACCTCAGAACACGTCCCATTTCTAGGGTGGTGGGAAAGTCAATGCCGAGTGTTGGGTTTCGTGGGAAAATTCTTGACCTCCTACTGAACCCTACTTGCCTCCAGAGGAATCTAGACCCCTTCGTATTTCCCCTCCTATACTCTTTAAAAAACACTTCAATTGAGTCACTCCATCATATCGCAAGCAGTGTCTCCTCCCACATTTCTGATGTTCCAGCCTCAGCATCTGTTCTCACCCTGTTTATCAAGTCCATATAAGGTCAGAACTCTGCGGTCTCTTTCCTCTGGTGAGTCTGGGAGCATTTGCTCTGGCCTGGAACTCTCAGAAGGCAGCATCTGTTTGTGATTGCTTGAGCCTGATTGGAGCTCTGCACTCCAGCTGTCTGAACGCATTCAGGTGTTGAATGCACTGACTAGGACTTGAAGAGGCAAAAAACAACATCGGGTGCATGAGTGCATTAATGCGATAAAGTGCACGGATCCATAGTCATGCAGGTAATCTAATGAACTGCATAAGAAGCTGAACTGGTCAGGTAGGTAAGCAGAGTTCCACTCGAATGGTGAACTTTGATCATTCAAAAAAGGTTTCCAATTCCAGGTCCAAGGTAAGGACAAGAAATCAGACCCCAGAAGCCTCCTTCATGACTTCTCCACATCACATTTGGCTGCAAGGCAGTGGAGGATAATGTGGCTGGAGATAAAGGGTCGAAAGGTAAGGGAAGTAAGAGAACAGCAAGACTAATATGTGACACGATCTGGGAAAACGTATGAAAGCTGGTATCAAGCCCTTTCCAAATCGTTTTTCATTTTGTTCATAGATTGTTGGTAGCAAAAGTTATGTTGTTCGTTACTGTTATTTTTTACTGTCCCGCTAACAATTTTGGCAATCTTTTTTATTGCCTTTTTTCATATCACATAGTTTAGTTATCATCATAAATTAGGTATTAGGCATTTAAAAGCTTACAAACTCAAAATTCATCCTGTGATTCCATTATGACATAATTTAGGGCACTGACGTCCCGAGGAATTAGCAGATTGAGGCGAGCAAGATCATTTAAATAAGCAGCTATTTAAGACTCCGTTGATCTCTTGTTCTCCTCCATCTCAAGATCATGTTATAAAACTGTGTGTCGTTACAGTTTAAACAGGATTGGTGCACTGATACACCTTCACTGTACATGTTATGTGGTTTATTTTGAAAGGTAAACTATCTTTGTAGTGTTAAGGGACGGACAGGTATAGGCGATTTTTTGCACCTCCTACAGGCTTTATGGCGCTTTTCCACTACACAGTACCAGCTCGACTTGACTCGCCTTTTCACCATGTAAAAGTTGTACCTGTTCCTGCTTTCGGGAACTTTTTAGTACCACCTCCAGCGAGGTTCTGAGCGAGCTAAAATTTCATGTGAAAACAATGCAGACCACTGATTGGTCGGAGAGAATCGTCACTATTCACTGCGTCATCATTACACGCGCCAGATGGAGTATCCAGAATATCCCCGCTATTTTTAATAGTTTGGCCAGAGATAGTTACTAAACTTACTACTATTATTATGGCAACTCGGAAGAATACGCCGTGGTCAAACGAGGAGGTACAGACTTTCCTTTGTTTGGTTGCCGAAGAGAAGATCCAACAAGAGATTGATAGGGCAATGAGGAACGAAAGGCGTCGCTATGACGACGGGTACTATTTGTGGCGGTACTGTCTGCAATGGAAAACGGAACGAAAAGCGAGCCGAGGCGAGCTGAGTCGAGTCAAGCTGGTACTGGTAATGGAAAAGCGCCATTGAAGAAATGGTCGCACCAAAGAAAGAGTCACTTGCTTGCCACTATAAATCGCAATTTTTCTGCATTAAACAAGGGAATTTTGACAAAACAATTTTCAGAGATAAGAGACAAGATGTTATAGAATAACAATTACATGGAAAAAATTGACCAAAAAAAAAGACATTCAAACTATTTTTTGATCTTTCTGAAAACGTCCCAGCGCAACATCTGATGGGTTTTCCCAGATCGTATCACATATAGAGTAGGAATGTCATGGTGAGAAAACTTTCAGAGCAGAGCAGACACTCTCAGTTTATAACTGTAGCGCCTGTTGTCCAACTGAACTATACAGTACTTATATATACATTAAAAAAGCAAAACGACAATGAGGGCAATACCATGGTGGGCAAAGAATGAAATCACTGTATGTAACCAGACTACTGCAGCAAGCCTAATTTATAGACAATGGTAGATTAAGCAAAGACCAGAGGATCAGTATCAAGAGTTAAAGGTCAGGTCATACCTGAACAGTCTTTTTGATCCTCTGAGATGGGCCAGGGTAGTCTTTGGAGTACAGGTCTGTCAGAAAGAGGGAATTGATGAGCGTGGATTTGCCCAGTCCAGACTCACCTAGAAAAGAGGCAAACAAAAATTAAGTTGCCATGCTCAACTGGTGCCATGAAATGCACTAACATAAGCAAAAAGTGGGAGAGGGATGAAATGACACATGCAAGAGACATCCATACTTTAAAACAGGAGGTGATGATTATGAGATTCTTCACAGATCCTCACAAGCTTTCTCACATTCATCCACCCACACAGAAACACACAATTAGTTTGTTGTTTTTGAGCCAACCAATGGCACATGTGGGACCCTGGCCAGAAATTCAATAGTTTCTTCCTGAGGACAGAAATCGAAAGACAGCGGCTTCATGGGTATATTGGGAACATGTTGTGGACAAAAAGGAAGAATGAGAGAGGGAGAAAGCTATTTTATTCTGAATGACTAAAACAGACTTTCTGGACAATTCCACACTTCTCTTTACAACTGATGAGCATGAGGCAGTGGCATTTTTGAACATCTCTTGAGTTGGGGGAAGGGAACACTTGGCCTCATCTGGCAGAGCACAGCAGACCACCAATGCATCACTGAAGAGTACACCCTCTTCACCCACTCAAATAATACAAATTCTCACTCAACATTTCTGACACAAGCAAGATCCTAGGCTTCAAGGGGGTTGAAAGCTCCTTCTCTCAATAAACAATCTTCCCACTAAGAGTCCTCAGCGCCTGAGCTTCCAATTCTTATCTTATTCATTTACCACATAGGAGAGCAAACAGGCCTGAAAATGCCAGTCTCAGGCCCTGTTTACACAAGAACGCTCGCGGGTGAAAACGTAAAAATATTTTATCAGATGTGCCTTTCGTTTACACTCCGATGGTGATTTTGGGGCTTAAAAACGCAAAAAAGTGAAACCACCCTCCAGAGTGGAAATCTTAAAAACACTCCACCGCCGTGTTCCCGTTTAAAGGGTAAAAACGCGAAAGTCAGCTAGACAGGGAAGGTTGTACGCAGTCGCGGACTTGGTGGTGTTGTGTGGCAGTGCTCCATATTGCCACCTAGCCGCCTGGAGTGCACACTACATCGAATTTCACACATTTTTGCGTCACCATATGCACGCAGATTTCCCACCCATAATGCTCATCTAAAACGCAGAATAAAAAGTGATAGCGCAACGCCACTTTTCCGTGTAAAAATAGCCTCATTGCTTATAATGTCACAAACATGGACTACACCTTCTGTAAGATGAAACCAAACACAAAAATCTTGACAATTCAAAGACTCTTTTTTTAACAGTTATCTAAATCACAGGAGCTTGATTGTATGCATTAAGTAATACTATTAAGTCATAATTTTGTTGTAAATTAATCGTTAAATTGTTGTGTTTAAGCTTATGACGTAATGCAATTTAGAAAGTAACAAAATGCAGTTAAATTGGTAAATGAGACCCAGATGACCCAATGCCCTCATGATATCAGTGCCTAACCCTCAATCCTGACTCCCCTCCCTCTTTTTGCCAAAGCAGGAGCAGTTCCCAGTGCGTCCTATGGAGCCGAAACATCTGCACAGACACGCATCAAGATTCTCCGTGCTATGCCAGAGATAACACACAGACACCAAACCCACCCTCTGTCTGTTAAGTAAATTTACTCCTCCATGCCCCAGGCTACGTGGACTTACCTAAACAAGACAGAGTGACTGGACTGTGAGAGCATCTATGCGTTTTTGTGGGGGTGGGGTGGGAGGACATCAGAGACCAGTGGAAGAGAAGTAAAGGGGGAGGAGGAAAGACAGATAAATAGAGACAGAGTGTTGTTTTATCGGTCTGCACTTACACTGGCATTTTAATGGAAGCCATGTACCAACACACAAGAAAGACCAACGGGAAAAAGCATCTTCTCTTCTGCTATTATATGCAGTTAGATATAGCCAAAAACAAAGACAAAAAATATATTTTGCGACCATTTAGAATAGATCATAAAACAACTTTTCATAATAATATTTACTACTTTTTTACTATTATTGTAATTTAATTTTGATTACATAACCACCACACATAAAATGTTTGTGAAAACATACCAAAAATTCATTACAAATTGAATTGCTCAAACCATTTTCAAAAGTTAGCTTTCAAGCAGGATGCGTCTATGAAATCAAGATGCCACTGCGTTAACGGGTCGGGTGAGAATGAGTAGATTAGCAAGCGTCTCCAGCTCCAGCTATCTCTAAAGCCCTGTTTCTCCCGCTCTTTCCCTTACACCCCCTCAGGGTAAAGCCAGAACCAATTAGCCTCATCCCCTCTTTTAATTAAATATCGGCGCACATGATCTCTGAAAACAAGACACTTCAGTCACAGCAAGGATCCAGGTCTAGTTCACAGTTGGCTGACCTTTATCAGACCCATGGATGAAAGGAGCTAACTCGCCTCCCCTTCTCATTTTGGTCCCTCTATCATCCGTCTTTTACTACTACAGCACATGTGCCTCTCCAGCAGAGACAAACAGAGACACTGGAAAAACCATTAAATAGAGGAAAAAGGTATATAGTTGTGCTAATAGACTGGCACAACCACATGTGGATAAATAGACCCTATTTCCACTGGTTTTACATTGAACTAGACCCAGAAATGCTACCAGGGGAACAGACACTTCCAAATTAAAAGCGCATGCTAGCATCACTTCCTGCCCCGGTTTGACACAGTTAGCACTTAGCTTGAAAAACTGGGGCTTTTTCTAATCTCATATTTAGAGATCATATTTTTAAAAAAATGTATTTTCTACTTTTTACTACTACCCTTAATGGATGGGTGGATTGGAGGACTGGGATAAATGGACAAACTTTCTAGGAGATTCCACACATTTTTCTTGACTTTCATCTATTTACCCCTTCCTGTCATCATGCTATGGGCCAGAAAGCACCCCAGGGCCCATTACTGGGCTCAAATATCCTGACAATCCTCCACCCCTTTCCACTGCCCTGCCCCCATCTAATCCCAGCCATCCCTTTTCTTCCTCACTCTTTTTCCCTCATAAAAGGGGCTCTAGCACCACTGCCATAATGTTGCTTAACTCTGTAACAAACAGATAGCTGACAGAGAGCAAAAGAGAGGCCCGCTACCTCTAAACAATGGGCAAACTATGATCATTTGAACTAATTACAATAAACTAGAGCTTTAGAAAACACTCAAATCAAATATTTGCTACATTTTAAAGTACTTATTGATTTTAAAGAATGTGAGAATGCAAGTATGATAGTAAGTGTGTGTTTAACTGGTTTGCAGAGAGGGGCTCCTGTAATGATAAGATCCATTGTTCGGCAACAAAGGTCAGAGTTCATCTCCGAACAGCCTGAGATAACAATCAGCAATGCTCTGTAAAAACTGCCATGAACACACACACACACACACACACAAGTCACTTCTACTGGAAAATCAATCTGTCCCACATAGAAAATAAGATCTATGAGGTGGATAGATTACACACTGCATGTGCACAATCAACATACACACTCAATATCATGTCAACGAACGGATCTCCAAAATATCTGCCTAGAAGTTTCCAGAAGACCTAGCTTGTTCAAGTGTGTTTAACTTGGGTTGGAGTAAAACTCTGCAGGACAGTGGCCCTCTAGGAACTGAGTTTGACACCCCTGTTTAAGGGTACGTCCCTAGTTTAGTAGGCAGGGCACTGATCTGGGAGTCCACTATTATAAGGGCTGACTCGATTGTAAAACCCATCCAGTCCACTGGAATGTTCACTCCCTAAAAAAAAATCCCACAATGCACTGCAAAAAACAGGGACCATCGATGCTCACCACGCTCCCTTACAGTGTGTTACGTCACATTTCTGAAGCAAGGAACAAGAGAATAGTCTAATGAAAAAAGAACAAACTTAAAATATTCCCATATTTGACTTGAATGAAACTTTAAAAGTACGTTTGTTTGAAAACCCATGCCAGTGTGTGTTTGGGCATTGGCGGATGCATTAGCATGTGTTGGCTAAGATCGTCTGAAAGGCTTAGCTCCATGACCAGGTTGTTAGATGACCTGTTGGCAGGCCAGAGAGGGGAAGCTTTGGCTTCATAATCCAGGGATTAAATATCCTCCATGTGTGTGTCCGTGTTTCAGCCAGGGGCCTTTTAAATGGACCTACAGCATAGTAACGTACGAGAAAAAGTAGCAGCTCCTAGCAGTAGCAATGCTAACGTAGCCACATTAGAATGAATATGAATGACATGGAATTCAACAACATGTCATGGCTGAAGACTTCAGCTACCGATTGGAAAAATCATCACTTTAAAACATCTCAAGTTTTGTCCAAACACAGCTGTCGGAGTTGTTGTTGTAGTAAAGGAATGCAAACTGCGTAATTAACGAAAACATGTGTGAAACTGTTACCATATTTTTCTCTTCGTTGCTTGTACAGGTGTGTATAGCTTGAAAAGCAGCTGTTAAAAGAGACAAAGAAAACCATATTTTAAACAAGCCACCAACAAGCCTTCGATAACTCGATCTGAAAAACGAAGCTCGACAACTCTTCACATTTTCCAACGCTTTCTCCCTGAAGAAACATTTTGCCAGCTGGAGTGAGAGGGAAAGCTCAAGAAAGGAAATGCTTGTGGAAAAAAAACACAAGGGAGAGAGCGAGAGAAAAGACAGGAAACAGATTTTTTCCTCCCTGAAATTTTGGAGGGAAAATTGGAGTCCACAGCCAAAGCCCTGTAGAGTGTGTCAGGATGAGTGACAAGAGAACAAGACGACAGTTTTGTTCTTTAAAAGGCCATTGGACGTGCCCGAGGACAGTATTAAGAATACCCAGCAAGCCCCTATTACATTTATTAGACACTGAATACATTACAGCAAATTTCAGCCCAGTCTGAGGAAGATTTTTAATGTTATGGAGACAATCTGTGGAGGTGGAATCTTGCTTCTGAGGGCAAATGTGGCGGGAGAGCATTTTAATATTAGTGAAATCAAAACACTGTTAATAGAAAGACAAATATTAATACTTACTAAATTTGCAGTGCTATTATATAGTGTAAAATACACTACCATTCAAATGTACTGAGTCAGTAACCTTTTTTATTTTAAGTAAATTAATACTTTTATTCAGCAAGGAGGAATCAAATCAAGTGACATGATTCGAGTAAAGACATTTACATGTTACAAAAGATACACATTTCAAATAAACGCTGTATCTTTCAAACAACATTAAATCCTTGATTTTCACCGCAGGGGGACTTTTAAACTTGCCGTGCTGACCAACAGAAAGCTACTTGGTTTGAAATGTGTTGTGTGTGAGCAGTGGCAAATACAAAGCAGCCCTATTGACAAGACCTTTTTTTTACCTGAACAATACTGCTGAAATATTGAGCAATGTACAGTACGATACAGCATACACAGCAATAAAAAAAAAAAAAATCTGCGATGGAATTTGTAGTTTTGGCCTACCAGTAAAGCGGGCAACATTTAGGTAGCCCCGCCCACGCTGAAATATTATTGGACGACTCATACATATTAAAAAAGAACAAATTATATGACAAACATCACTAAGACAGTTGTAAAAATCAAAAGAAAAACTATGAAAATATATGATTTCACAAGTAAACAGACAAATTGCTTGTTGCTGGAAATTCATTGGAGTAAGGAATCTTGTTTTTACAAATATACACAAAATATATTTAAAAATTAATATTCTTAATATAGGCCACAGATGATAATGAAGGCAACAAAACTAGTTCTCTACAAAGACTAGTGCGGCTTATACCAGCACAAGCATCTAAATAGTTCGATTAACCCTAGACAACAAGCCAACAAACAGACATAGGGAATGAATGAGAAACAAAGACAGAATGAGTAACAACTTGGAAGAGGAATAGAGGAAGAGAGAACTAAAGAGATTATTTTGCACCAGATCTGGGAAGCAAACCCTCTGCAAGCGCTAACAGACACACACACACCCCGCTTACTATGGTGAGGCGGCGCTCCACCACAGTTATGTCACCGAGATCCATATTTCCAATATAGCTTTAGTCACAGCATCCAAACCACAGAGAGAGCTTGTGATAATGACAATAATATTGATCATCCAAATTCTCATCATCTATCTACTCTTTATGTGGGAATAAAGTCATTCTTTATCTAAAGCCACAGACTATTTGCTTAAAGTAAAAAACTAAACACCAAAAGCTTATTTTGTGTCATTCTAGTATTTTCAAATGACAACCCTGTTACCATGATTATATAGTAAATAAACTTCAGAAGTTAATATACATTTAACTAACTTTACAACCCTAAACACAAGGCGTGCAATGTCTAATTTAACTAAGCCTGTCAACCCTGTTAGTGTTTCCTGAACGCCCGTTTCCTGAATGTTTCCTGAAGGCATAATTACTGTAAACAATATTAATATAGCTGGAAATGGCACTATGTTTGTTTTTGGAGTCCCGCCGCACATAACATGGATGGACAAAAAATATATATATCGTGTTCATATCCGTTCACTCGTTTTAGTTAAATCGTGGCCATGCCCAGATTCATTCTCTTGCATTGATTTAACTGAAGCAAGGGAATTTGTGGACATATTTTTCCCCACGTCCTGTGTGGGGCTCAAAACAATACGATTAACACACTTTTTATCTGATATGTCTAAAAAAAAAAATCACTTCATCAAACTAGAAGAGGCCCCCATTTCACAGAACGCAATCTCAGAGGTGAGCAAAAGAATTTTGCGACTTACCGACAACCATGAGTGTGAACTCAAACCCCCTCTTCACGGACTTCCTGTACACCTGGTTGGGGAGGTTGGCGAAGCCGACATAACCCTCCAGATTCCTCTGCTGGAAGAAAACACAGCTTTACTCCACATTCCACTGATTAAAGAGCAGAACGGCTCCTCCATTACTGTTATCCCTCTCAAAACAGAACTCAAGAAGACTTCAGAGGAAAGATATTAAAGGCTAGGCTAATATTAACATTAGTTACAGTGGATAATCCCTTAGCACAGTCAAGCTCTTAAACTAACATGCAGGGATACCACAACGAAGGATCACATGGAGTTTTGCTAATTTGAGGATGAGCAAACAGATCTGCGTTAAGCACGTATGAAAGTAACTGCAAAACTGCTTGCCTAAACACAACTTTTGGAAACCAAGAGGCTGGGGAAGGGAGGACACATGGGGTCTCATGACTGACAAACGCTCATTTACGTTTCGTATCAAATCCATCATGAACTCAATGTCGTCATGGAGGCAGTGTATTTCGCTCCAGATCACAGCCAGCGCCTTGTCCAGATGCAAGTTCTCCTTCACAAGCTTCTCCATCCCTTTCTCTCCGTCGCTTTCCTTCTCTGGTAATCTCATGCTCTCGGAAGCACAGCGCTGAAGCACACGCTAGGCGAGGCAAACACAATTGATCGCTGTGCTTTGGCTCCGCTGAGCTTCTCACGCATGGTAGGCCAATGGAAAACTAACTAGTAGGGGCCATGCTGATCATTTAGAGAGGCAGATAGTTTGAACGGGGAGGGCTACGATCACCAAGTTAACTCTTTTTGGCCTGGATGAATGACCGTGGCCACAAATGTATTTATCAGAACTAAGCCAATAGACTATTTGGGAAACAGTGGATGCCATGCCACAAAATTCACTCACAGCATTTAAAAGGATTGATTTTATATTTTCATTTAAACAAAATATATTATATGATTATATAGAAGAGTAGGTTGGCCAATGGCCGATATAAGGCTGATAAATATGACACCATTTAATATTACACTATTTCGTTTAGATAACATGCATTACAAAAAAAAGCAATGGAGATTTATTTTACATATTAAAGGCGCACTTGGCAACAATTTCAACTTAATAAAACCGTTTAGAAACGTCCCGGTAAGTTGGAAATAGAAGTCTTGTGAGAAGCGAGAACGAGCGAGAAACACAAACTGCTTTATGGCAATTCGGCATAATTCTATGATAATGTGTATGATGTATGATAGAGTTGGCCGGCTCCGATAATAACACATGAGCAGCGGTAGAAAGGGGGAGGAAGGCGCCGCAAGTGAGTTTCTTTATGACGGTGTTGTGAAATATACGCCGCTCAGCTGTAGGGGGCGCTGATGAGAAAACACGCGACAACAAATGTGGAAATCAGCGAAGAGGTGACTAGAGTTGCCAAGTGCCCCTTTAACTAATTTAGAAACAATCAATTGTAAAATGAATTAATATAAAAAGTAAATCTATAAAATAAACATTTTTTTAGCAAGATCTTGTATCTCTAAGCCTATTATAATATTTTTCACAAATTAAGAAATAGTTTAAAAACATGAATAAAAAGTAAGTAAACACTGTATCCAACCACTTAGTAAACTGGTAAAGTTGTCTTAGGGCTGTCAAAATAAGAGTCCTGTAAATGTCCAAATAAAAGCTGCTTATAGTTTACAGCTAGACAAATGTATCAGTCGATGTTGATGATTTAAAAATACTAAATAACTATTATATTTTTGCATTTTTAGAGGTTATCAGCCATAACATAATTAATAATCAAATATGCATCAGTAATCATCAGCCATAATTTTAATTTTGGTGAAAAATCATACAGCTTTGGAACGAGATGCATACATAAACAATGACAGATTTGTTTTGTGTGAACTATCCCTTTAAATAACAATATATCAAAATGGATTTGATACTAAACCTCTGTCAGTTTTTGGACACTTGCATCCCAAACTGTGACTATCTTCTTCAAATGTATACTATATAATTCATACACCAGTCTATAAATAGCCATGCTCTGTGAACAGCTCAGGGCATTTTCCATGCTTTCGCACTTGAAGCGCTCTTGCGTAACTGTAAGATTGATGTCATGCCCCAACATGGCAAACAACACAACATCTGACCAGAAGAGTGAATCAAATCATTGATTATTGAACTACTATCCCTCCATGTTAGCATCCACATTAGGTTGGAGGATACATTTCATTATTGAACCTCTATCCATGTTAGCATCCACATTAGATTGAAGGATACATATAATTATTGAACATCTATCCATGTTAGCATCCATATTAGATTGAAGGATGCATATAGCGTAGGTGGGAAAAACGTGTGGGTGTTCACAAGCTTAATATTCAGAATAGGTTTAACATTTGTGCAATTCATTCATCCTTTGAAGGAAGTATAACATGATATGAGGACCATAAATATTGGAGTATTCAAATGTATAAACATCAAAGCACTAAAACATCACCTGACATCTAAAATGATGCTAGGCCTTTTCGTAGCTAACTTCACTTTCCTGAGCACTTATTTTTAGACAAATGATCCCATGTTGATTTTAAGTAGATTTATGAAGTCAGTTTCCTTCAAGTTCACACAGAAAAGATCATGATATATGCTCAGTGACAGTTTTTGGCTGCTCTTCTCTCCATCTAAGCCTATTGAAATGCATCTCACTGCTCTCCACAAGAGAGCTGGGCATCCCACTTAGAGCCTGTCATTCTCATTTGCTTCTCCAAACAGCTATTAACACACAACTGCCCTACTATTTACTATATAAAAAACACATTTGTATGAGTTTTGAATCAAGATCGCATGTCTTGAGGTCAATGAAAATGGAAATCAACATAGTATTTTAACATGTGTATGGTCTGACACAACAGCAATTTAGGTACGCTTTTAAAATTGGTGATTCACACCTTCACAAACGCCTAGAGCATGGCATGGCAAAATGGATATTGTTTTTGACCTCATCATGTTTAATGATGTAGTAAGATATTGTGTACTTAAAATGTAGATTCTGAAGAGGTTGCTTCTTAGTTCTTGCATGGTTTTGGATGAAAGTACAATGTTTTTGTTTTGTTTTGCATGAGCTAAAGCTAATGTGGCATAATTTACTTTAACAATAATACACAAGAACCATAGAGCTTTTGATCAAGAAAACACAGATTATGGTAAGCTATTTTAACATTTAGTTCTATAAAACAAATAGTATCTGTTTTTTACATTAACGGTACTTATTTTTAATTACTTAAAAGTAATTAAGAGTGACTACAATTGTTTTCATAAATTAGTACCAGATATAATGTTATTCCTTTACCTTATTAATTGTTTCCCATTAAATTATATGGGGATCTGTGGTAAACATATCAGCTATTCGCTGCCAACTAGAAAATATTCCAACTGTTGTTGTGAATAATCCCTTTTTTACTAGTACAAACTAATTGTTGATACATTAACCAAAAATCACCAGCGATATGTTACCTGTATAGTGTACACTATTTGTATAGTGATACACAGTAAATTAATCAAATGAGATTGAATGATAGATTACTAGTAGCTAACTGAATACTGGATAACATAACATTGGCAAATGTATGAGTGTCCATTGAATTGGTGAAATTAATTTTTATCAAAAATAGATGCTAGTTAGTTTTAAGTAGCCTAATAAATGTGAATACGGCTTGCCACAAAACACAGATGATTATTAAGGGACAGTAACACTAGGAATCAATTGGCCCACCACCATGCAAGTCCACGAACCAATGAAACAGATGTGGTTTAAATGTATTTTCTGGACAGATTTAGATACATTAATGAATATTGTACTCACTGCAACGCTGGAAACAGCTGAGTCGGGTCTCTCGATCATCGTCCTGTGACAACACCCACTCTGAATCCCAATAGATCAGGCATAAAAAGATGAGTCGACTCAGAAAGTGTCGAGTGCAGAAGCGATGATGAACCCTTACGGTTGCTTCTGAATTGGACTAAATAAATTGAATTTTATAGGACGTAAACGTGCACAGAACAAAAACAAGCATGCGAGCATCGGCCGGGGGAAAATGTTACAATGCTGCGAGCATGAAAGGCGATTGTCCTCCTCCTAGAGAATTCAACCCCTATTGGTCCGCGACTGGCCGCTTGTAGTGATGTCATAGAATTCCGCCCACTCCCGCATTTCATTGGCTCAATGGACTTAACAATGAATTGTGGTATTTGTAGTGGCTGGCACGTGGACGCAGATGAAAAATGCGGCAGCCAGATGTGTGCACAATACTTCAAAACAAATTAAAGTATTTTAAAAACAAATTATGTCTGCATCGAGATATCAAACATGAAAAGAAAAAATGGGAAATACTTTTAATTTTCAACAGACACGGGAGAGCATGTTATGAGGCATTTGCGGTCTGTAATGATGTACATGTGCCCTCTAGTGAAATAGCCTATGTTCGCTGAATAATTTTCACATAGACAGCTAAAATATGTTAAGTTAATTATAGATTTTAAAATGGAGCCTAAAATAGACACTCACCAGCTGAGGTATGCAGAGCACAGCATCAGAAACATTAATAACGTCTTTATGAAGATCTTTCTACAGGTAGCCTATATCGTAACACAGGTAGGCTATATGATAGGCTACACCTCAACCGAAGAATGTGTGGTGATTTGCCAGCAGAAATAGAGATAGCCTAGTGAATTAGATTTTGAGAAGCTTGTTGATTCTCTGGGTCAGTAACACAAATTTGTCTCTGAACCCTCTTCCTCTTAATTTGGTAGGCTATTGTTGAAAACTAAAATTGCATTAAGCTGCTAGCATTTCACACAGGAAATAGCATAGCTATTTATGTCTTCTTCATAGGCGCCTTAAAATTGGCCTTGTGCTCTGCTGGCGAACCAGACTACTGTTCATTAAGCGTCTGTTTGGATCATGAAAGTAAAAATACATGCTCTTGGAATTCCTTTTATCATAACTAAAACATTTGGCAATTCTAGAAACACTTTGGCTGAGAACTGTGCGGGTATTTACATTAAAAACCAGATGACAGACTTTTACCCTTGATATATATTATTTATGTCATCTAGTTTATGAGCTGCTGGAAAAGGGTACAGGGTGGAGTAAACTTTTTTTTAGTTAGTTAATTTTTTTAACGGAAAATTGAAATGATGTCTATTTTTTATCCTCTCAATAGTTTGGAAGCTATAGTTTCTCTCATGAATGTAGCGGGTCGTCTTTGCCTGTGGTTGCACTGTGTTAACTTTTGTGAAAATGCAGCCAATGAGAATGTGTTTCAATATCAGTGTGTGTCCTCACAGCACCTCAAACTAAGACATCAGCCAAGTTAACAGGTATCAAAATAGAGTATACTAGTATTGAGCATGGTGAATGTGAGAACTTCTTATTAGATCAACATTCCAATCAACCTATCAGATTTGAGGGATTGGTTTACTGTTAAGTTTTGGCTTACAACCAGGGTTAGGGGCTTCTACACCATTCTTAATCACCTATTTCATGTTTTTACGGATAAGTTGTGGATAGAGTTAGATTTAGGGATTGGGCTAGGACTGTTTTGGGGGGAGTGAATTTAGCCTCCAAACATTTAGCCTCCAAACATTCTCTGATCTATATGTCCCCAACTAGAATTGCCCCAGTGAATCTCGGACATTTCCACCAGTATATATAGACGTCTGGTGAAATGATCTGTAGTTTAATGATAAAAGTCTACATGTGCCCTCTAGTGAAATATTCCAATAGTTGTAATGTGTCCTACTCATAATAATTATAGGGTATTTTAAGTATTTTAAGTTACAGTTAAAATGTTTAATGAACTTTTGTTCATTGTTTTGTTCATAATTGTTTTGTTTTTTTTAGTAAATACTAGTAAACTAACTGACAAAATCTAATAAAACTGTCAAGTTACCTAAACTGTTAAGTAATGGTAAACACAAAGGCAGATACTTAAGCAATAGACAATAAAACAAAGGAAATCTTAACATTTGATGTGCAATAGCTTTATTAACATTAATAAGTATAATACCAATAATTTAAAGTTAATATCAGACCAATAAGTTATTTATTCCCATATTATTTACAAAACACATTCAAATAGTATACAATACAACTCTATTGCAGTACAATATTGCTGGTTTATTTTTTTTACAATTTCACTCATATGGTATGTGTGTGTGTGTGTGTGTGTGTGTGTGTGTGTGTGTGTGTGTGTGTGTGTGTGTGTGTGTGTGTGTGTGTGTGTGTGTGTGTGTGTGTGTATCTATGTAGATGTAGCTTCAAGTTTTATTTTGGTGAATCTGAAGCACTTTTCTTGTCTATGTGGTTTATGTACAGCTGGACCCACTTATTATCAGGTTTCACACAGCGATGTATCTTCTTAGTTGTTACGAACCTACAGCAGATCATAGATGAAAACATTAAATCAGCATGTGAGTAAATACTGTTAGCAATTTAAGTGTAGTCTACCATTAAACCTGAGAGGATACTCACACAATGTAAGTGTAGGGGCAACTGCTATTTGTCCAGTAATAAGACTTCAGCCGTCTCAGTGGTATTCTGGAACGGGTTTCTTCAAAGCAGCAGACACCGTTTGCAGACTCAACTGCCTGAGGACCTGAAAAAATGAATGATTCACCAGTAAAATATGATTCAACACGTTTTTAAGCAGTATGATAACTTAAAAAAAAAAACAGTTTAATATAGTTTAAATTAGTTTCCTCTGGAAAATGTTTAATCTAGAGCCTGAAACGCTTTAGAAAAAAGCGGTCAGAAGCAGACACTCACCAGCTGAAGTAAGTTGCACAGCACAACACAGCAGCAGAAGCAGTAACGAAACCTTCAGGAGGATCATCATTCTCAAGGTGTGATAAACCACATGAGAGGGTGAGAGTATATGTGATGAACTTCTAGCATTCCTTTATATAGAGACCGTGAATTAGTTTCTGTGTTGAAAGAAAATCCCCAATATGTTGATTCTAGTGACGCAGCCTTTTCTAAGTACAACACTGTCTCTGAACCCTCTTCCTGTGCTAATAATACATGCGAGTCACTCCAACTTCACGTAAATACCCTACTTAAATTCAAATGACCTCCTACAGGCTGCACTTCTGAGATATACAGTACCATGTACAGTATCAATAAAAGTTTCCAGATTTATTGGTGAGAAAAATAATTAATTTACAGCCAAATTCATTCCTTATTCAATGTGTTTCTCACAACAGATTTCCTCTCCGAACTGTGAGTGCCTCAAGGTTGCATTAGTTTATTATGGTTTGTGACTGCTTTCTAATCATCATCAGCTACATCCACAGAAAATTCACAATGTGGAAATAAATCGGACCTCATCCTAAAAGTATTTTTGGTATGATCTGTGATAGTCCTCTCATATAGAATTTATCTTCTAATCTAAAATCGAATAAGCGTTTTGTATTGCAGTACGACCTGGTTTAATAGCTTGTCTGTAAACCTAAATATTGGTGTATGTTTGTATTCAAAATGATTCAATTGATTAAAGAGTTTGATTTATTTAATTAGTCCTTTGTATGAATCTTATTAATCTCTTCTATTCCAGTCATTGATTGCTATTCATTTAATCAGCATTTATATTTCTTGTTGCTGATGTTATTGATTTCTTTAATCATTTATATATTTTCTACTATATGCTCTGATGTGTTTGATTATTTCCAAATGAAATATGCTTGGTGTCTCTTCTTTGCTGTAAGATCGAGTGGGTCATTTTCCTTTAGATTTGATTGGTGATGTACATTTGTATCAAAATATAGATACAGTTCCATCTCTGCAGACGACATGTGATATTCTCTTAAAGGTGTCAAAACTGCCCCTTGTCTATTTTCGTCTCTTTGCAACAACATTAAACCAGTCATGCCAACCTATACACACTGACAACAGTTTGACCTTTTCTTATCAAATCACATGTTTAGAAAGATGTACATTTCCTGCATAGGCCTATCTATTTTTTACTCTTATTTTGTTCTTCACTTCTGCTTCTCTTCTACCTCTCCTTTTATTCTGCAAATAACTTCTTTTGGGTTCTTCTTCCTCTATTCTGATCTCATTCTTCATCTATTAGATAAAATATAAATTTTATATTTTATTATAAACTATTGAATAAGATAGGTTTAAACAAAATTTGGATCTATTTGCTATTATCATTTTCATATATACTTAATTTATTTTATAATTTACATTTTTACTTAGTAAATTTGATCTTCCTTGTTCAAATTTGATCTCTGACATAATCATTACTTATACACTCACCTAAAGGATTATTAGGAACTCCTTTTCAATTTCTCATTAATGCAAATCAAATCAACGTGTCGGTGAGCACATAATTACAGATTTTTGTATTTTAATTGCACTTTCATTTTAAAGGGCCAATGTTTTGAGAAAAACTTTTTGTATTGTACTGAGTATGAGAGAGGATACTGTAACCGATATTCAAGTAAATGCACTTCTGAGTATCATCAATGATATGAGCTGTTTCCGTTCCTCATCCTCTTTCTACTTCTGTTTTATTTCTCCTCAGTGTTATAAAAAACGCTTTCTTCAAGTTGGCATACTCAGCATTGTCTGCAGGGGCAAATATTCTGAGAAAGAGAGATGTACAGGATGTCCACCAGAGGTTCATGTGTTATTTCTATTTATTTTTTCTTCATCAGTAGTTTGCAAGCGAACATAAAGTTTCTCCTTTGCGAGCCAATGCAAAAGCATTTAAATATAGTTTTTCCTCCCATCTCATATTTTTTTCTATCACCATGTCCCTTTTATGACCCCTGTACTTTTCTAGTTTACTAACTAGAGCACTTCTCTTCATAACTGTGAAAATTATATGAAAAAACAAAACATCAGAATGAGAAGAAAGAAAAAAGTAGATTTCTTGTGAATGCGTTGGTTACATCATGTGTGTGTGGTTTTAAAATCACCTCCTCAGCATTTACTTTCATTCATGTATTTCACTGCTTCATTTTGTCAAAATTGCTGCTCTGCATTATTATATTGCACTGTATGTCTTAGACTGCAACAGACTGAATATTTTGCTCATGATCTGCCTCTCAAATTAAGGGTAAAATTTAAGCACTGAGCATTAAACATCAATTGGATGATGTCGGGGGCTATACTTTACACGACACCATTTTCAACCAAAAACTGAAAACTTTGTGTTTTGGTCGTTTATATTCACAACAATGGTTTTGGGGTCCTGAAAACACAAACTTTTGAAAATTAGTTTTGAAGTGTATAGGTTTTGCAAACAATACCATCCGTTATCATCTTTGTGTCAAGCAGTGTTGCAAGTTACTCTAAAAAAGTAATTAATTACTAGTTACCAATTACCTCTTCAACAATGTAATTAGATTACTGTACTAATTACTCTCTCTAAAAAGTATTTAATTACTTTTAATTAATAATTACTTTCAAAATCCCATATCAATCTCAACCAGCTGAATAATAGGCTACAATGATAGACATGGATCTGTTTTAATTCTTTCAAATAAATACTCTAAAATTGCATGAATTATCCTTAAACTGAACAAGGTGAAGAAGGTTACATTATAAAAACATACTTTTTTAACATCAGACAATATATTTTGATGTTAAACCCACTATTTTTTTGTGTCTGATCTCATTACATTTCACACTTTTTCCATACATATTTTACAATAATTCATACGAATTTGTACGAGTGCGGTCGTACGATTTAGACACCTCATAAAATGCATGCATATACGAATCGCTGTGAGATCGGATTGATCCATACATCATCCATAATATTTACCTCAATTACATCAGAAGTAACTGTTAAATTACAGATAAATGAAGAGTAATCCCTTTACATTTTCAAGGGAAAGGTAATTAAAGTACAGTAACGAATTACTTAGTCATTAGTTACACCCAACACATGGTGTCAAGTACAAAAATGTGAATGTGTGAAAACGGTGACATCATGCGCATGCGTATTACGTATTACATGGCTCGTAGGGTTTCTTTACAAAGCGACATCGCCAGCTGCTGTACAGGCAGTATAATACTGCATTTTTAGTTGTTTTCATGGATCCGTGTGAACGGGGAGCATTTTGACAAAGTTGTCATCTGCATGACGAAATATTATTTTTCTGTAAAAAATAAATGCAAAGGAAAATCATTTCCGTTTTTTGTACATTGTGTTGTCGTGTAAACATTTCCTCAGAGTAACAAACCAATTACCATTACATGGTGCATATTTGATTGCAATAAAATGATTTACGATGAAGGGATGACACACAGTAAACAGTGTTTTGAATGTTTTTTTTTTTTGTTGTTTTTTTTTTACATTTACAGTCATATAGCCTACATTTTTTTGTATGTTATGACGCATTGCTTTGTCACTGTTGTCTAGAAGCAGCTTGCTGATATGGATATGCAGGATACAGTTATTTTTATATATATTTACTCCAAATAGGCACACAGAGAGCATCTTTTCAGTATATATGTATCTTGCAGAGTAATAATTCAAAAAAGCCAGTAGCCTACTTAAATAGTTGGAACAGTCATCACAACAAGAGGATCATCGGGCCCAAATTTCTTCTGATCCCTCACACGTCTCATATTGAGTTCAACTCTTTTTAAGACTGAAAAACTCTTTGCATCGGTCTATTAAACCAGGAACAGAGCTGTGATAAATGTGAGGTTATTTTTTGGAGTGTATGAACAGCACGTCTTGTAATTGTTTTAAACTGAATATTTACGTAAAACTGTGGATGCAAAAATAATTTCTGTGAAAACTACAAATAAAGTTGTATTCGATGTATGAAATATTTATATTATTTTCTAGATTTTTTATATTTATTTACTAGATTTGTTTTGTGCTACCCATCTACTTTTACTACTGACTTTTAAATAAAAAATAAAATATGTTTAAATACCATTTAGTTAAAAAGACAGCATTAAAAACATCACAACATTATATTTATAATCATTTGTATTTTATTAAAAAGCTCCAATCACATAACTTATTTTAAAAATATGTTCATATACACATCAGAAATCGTGCTCAGATATACAATATAAAATGCAAAGTTCAAGTAGAAACAGTGTAGCTTGTTTTAGACTGGCTCTGAGTCTTTGCTGTTGTAGCAGCAGTTGTTCTCTTGTCCACTTTATCAACATGGCCGTTCACCCAGGTTGTCTCTGGATCTACACAGAACGTTTTACCTTTTAATGTCTGAAACCTGATGGGGAAAGGACAAAACAAGATTTAGATCAGAGTGTTTCTTTAATTGAGTGTCTCATTCAGATTGACTTTGCAGTTTGATAATGAAATAATGTTTAAGATGACACTCACACAATGGCTGGTCTGGGACATTCGCTGCTGGTCCAGTAGTAAGACTTCACCTGTTTCACAGGAATCTTCACATTAATGAACTCCATACAGCAGTTTGCCACATTACCGGCTAGGGGAGCTGGAATATGGAGAGAAATATATCACAAATCTACACATGACCATGCAAAAAATAAGACAAAAGTTTTCAATCTCAATCTATTTTCAAATCACCTAATGCAACAAATGAAACTAAACCTGACAGAAATCATCTGAAAACAATTGATTTAATCTTAATCAACATTGAAAGAGTCCTCACCGCTTGAAGTCATCGGCACAGAGCAGAAGAGAACCAGGACCATCAGAAACATCAGGCTTCTCATTCTTCAAGATGTTTGTTCACAACGACAGAAAGAGTCTTGTAGAGCTGGAAGATCTCAGATCAGGTGTGTCCGAAATAACGCCTGAGCTCCTGCTTATATACATGGCAGGAGAGCAATTCTTCATAAAGACATTCATGTAAATACATTTCCGAGTAATATTGTCAGATGCAAGTTGTTTTTACCTCTTCCTTTCCTTCATCCTTTTTCTGCTTTGTCGCTCATGTAAGAAAGTGAAAAGTACTTTTCTTTTAGATTCATTGAAAACGTGTTTCAGGAAAGCAACACGGCTTCCTCTTTTCAAGTCTTCTGTGCTCAGTTATCCTTTATGGTCCTTTATACTCTCTTTTTTTTGACAACATTAATCTATTAGTTAATCAATGTCATCTTGGAAACTTGTCAAACTAAAAAATTAGCTCAATTCTCATTAGAGCTCAGACTTCTTCACCTGCTTGTGTAAGCTTTTAGAGTAACAAATGTAATAATATTTGAAGATGTTGAAGTCTATTAAAATTGTTCACAATACCAATCAAACTTGCTAAATTTACAGTAATAATAGTATTTCTCTCATGTTCTCCATTTCTCAACAGAGACAATTTATAATTTGGGACTGTGTGTATTGCAAAGTATTTTGGATTGACTTTTCAAACTTTTTTTTTTTTTTTTTTTTTTTTTGTGACTCTGAAATTAGACCCTTCTCATTTTAAATTTGTAATTCATTTAACCCTAACGGGAAACTGTATTGGAGAGTGGTGTGCCGGCAGTGAAAGGAATGTCTTCTAACAGGGACGGTGGTAAGAGATGAGACAGGGAGAATCAAGGTGAGTAATATCAGGGTAAGTCCTCTTCGCATGAACGAGACCAGACAGTGAACAGTGGTGAAGTGAGACCTTAAGTATATGTGGTGCAGGTGTGATGAGGAATGATGTCAAGTGGGAACAGAGGAAAGTGATGGGAAATGTAGTGCAGGATCCAGTAATGTTATGTTGTAAAACATTTAAGCTATTAATATTCATTTGTAACCCCCGTTATTGTCTATTGTTCATTACTGTCTTGTCTTGTTGTATTGTTGCATAATAAAAAGGATGTGAGCGTCACTCAAAAGCAAACAGAACCCATTATTTTCACTGAGGCTCTCAACACTGAATACAGTACAGATGTATGTTCAATTTCTGACATTTAAAGTCCCCGTAAAATCAAAATTGAACCTATTTACTTTGTTAGCGCATATTACTAGTCTTGTGGTGAACAATTAATCCGTGCAAGTAAAAATATATTTAAAAAATGTTTTACCTTGGTAATCTTTAATCAAAATCTGAAAAGTTACTTCCGGTCTGGAACGGTTTCTTTTTCTGATGACGTAGGTTTCACAACTTGGGTGGGGAAACGCTTAACCACTCCCCTCAAACCGTTAGTTTGCTATGAGCGAGAGATGGAGAGGAGGAGCGCTAGAGTAAAACCCCGCCCTCTGTTCAATATTCCGTTTCACTTGGAAATACGTCACAGCACTGGAGAAAAATCGTTTGCAACTTCCGGTTCACGGGGACTTTAACAAACATTTATTGTAAATGATACATTTTCAGTCTCATATTGATAAATGATTTATATGTCGTGAGGTATTGCTATGTCACTGTTAACTAGAAGCTGCTGGCTCCTGGCTAATATGAATGCAGTATAATTGCAGTATACAGTTAATTTTATATATTTACGAGGCCAAGTAAGCACACAGAGAGCATCTGGTATCTTTTCAAACTAAAATACTTGAGACCTACTAGTGCAGACAGTAGACTGTGGATGAAGACAGACATATCTTTCAGTGTACCAACTCAAAGAAAGACAGTACTTTTATAGTTTGTCTGTGAACCTAAATCTAAATAATTTAAAGCTGCAGTCCGTAGCTTTTTTAGGGTTAAAAATGATCCAAAATACATATTTGAGAAAATACATAACCAGCCAGTGTTCAAAACTATCTGCTTGTACTCTTGTGATAATGTTAGAACTGGTGAACTGTAGAACTGGTGGATTTCAACGGGAGATTTGATCATGTCTTTGCGTAATTACGTCACATCTGTACACATAAAGAAGGAGTCTCGGCTAGTATGTATTGAGTAATTACATCACATCACGTTATATAGGCTACACTAGACTGTTTTGTATTACCCATACTAAAAATAAAATAAGTACCATGATTGCATTAAAAACATCAAAACATTATAATAATTTATAGTTTATTAAAAAAGTATTTTCATATACACATCAGAAATAGTCAGATATACCATTATGTTTACAATGTAAAGTTCAAGAAGAAACAGTGTAGCTTGTTTTAGACTGTTGGGTTGCAAGTCTTTGCTGTGTAGCAGTTGATGCAGCAGAAGATGTTGCAGCAGTTGTTGTTATTGGTGTTGTTGTTGTTGTTGTTGCAGCAGGAGTTCTCTTGTCCACATTATCAACATGGTGGTTCACCCAGGTGGTCTCTGGATCTATACAGAACTCTTTACCTTTAAATGTCTGAAACCTGATGGGGAAAAAAGGACCAAATAAGATTTATATCAAAGTTTTTTGATGGAGTTTGTCATTCAGATTGACTTTGCAGTTTGAAAATGAAATAATGTCTAAGATGACACTCACACAATGGCTGGTTTTGGACATTCGCTGCTGGTCCAGTAGTAAGACTTCACCTGTTTCACAGGAATCTTCACATTATTGAACTTCATACAGCATTTTGCTACATTTAATGCGAGGGGAGCTGAAATGTGAAGACAAATAGGGCTATCACAAATATGCAAAAAAAGACAAAAGTTTTCAATTACATTTGTTATTAACTTATTACAAAGTTGCTATATTTTCAAATCACCTAATCTAATGGAACAAATGAAACTAAACCTGACAAAAATCATCTGAAAACAATTAATTTGATCTTAATTAACATTGAAAGTGTCCTCACCACTTGAAGTCATCGGCACAGAGCAGACGAGAACCAGGACCATCAGAAACATCAGGCTTCTCATTCTTCAAGATGTTTGTTCACAACGACAGAAAGAGTCTTGTAGAGCTGGAAGATCTCAGATCAGATGTGTCCAGAATAACGCCTGAGCTCCTTCTTATATACATGACAGGAGAGCAATTCTACATACATTTCTGAGTAACAATATTGTCTCTTCCTTTACTTCATCCCTTTTCTGCTTTGTTGTTCATGTAAAAAAGTGGAAGGTACTTTTCTTTCAGATTCACTGAAAACGTGTTTCAGGAAAACAACACACGGCTTCCTCTTTTCAAGTCTGCTGTGCTCAGCATTAAATGGCCCATGCACGAGAAATTCAATTTTTACAAATAAGAGGTAAAATCCTGCAAGTTTTAGAACATCATCCTCAGTATAAAAAAAAGCTTTTTTTTTAATCAAGCTCCATGACATCTGTGACATCACGTGGGGAAAAACATTTCCAACTTTTGCGTCTGTGTACAGACTTCAGAAGGATCCCAGTTTCGGAAACAAGTGGATGGTTCTGGATGAAGGGTTATATGTTTGTTTGGGGCATTTTCTTTTGTAAAAGCAGCAACTGTACTGGATCTGTACTATTTCACAATGCTTTGTCTGTAAATGACAGTCTTTCTGCATACACTCACCTAAAGGATTATTAGGCACACCATACTAATACTGACCCTGTTGCCTTCAGAACTGCCTTAATTCTACGTGGCATTGATTCAACAAGGTGCTGAAAGTTTTCTTTAGAAATGTTGGCCAGTATTGATTGGATAGCATCTTGCAGTTGATGGAGATTTGTGGGATGCACATCCAGGGCACAAAGCTCCCGTTCCACCACATCCCAAAGATGCTCAACTGGGTTGAGATTTTAAGTACAGTGAACTCATTGTCATGTTCAAGAAATCAATTTGAAATTATTTGAGCTTTGTGACATGGTGCCTTATCCTGCTGGAAGTAGCCATCAGAGGAGGTATATGGTGGCCATAAAGGGATGGACATGGTCATTTAAACGATGCCCAATTGGCACTAAGGGGCCTAAAGTGTGCCAAGAAAACATCCCCCACACCATTACACCACCACCACCAGCCTGCACAGTGGTAACAAGGCATGATGGATCCATATTCTTATTCTGTCTATCATCTGAATGTCTCAACAGAAATGGAGACTCATCAGACCAGGCAACATTTTTCCGGTCTTCAACTTTTTCCTATTTGTAGTGGAGATGAGTGGTACCCGGTGGGGTCTTCTGCTGTTGTAGCCCATCCGCCTCAAGGTTGTGTGTGTTGTGGCTTCACAAATGCTTTGCTGCATACCTTGGTTGTAACGAGTGGTTATTTCAGTCAAAGTTGCTCTTCTATCAGCTTGAATCAGTCGGCCCATTCTCCTCTGACCTCTAGCATCAACAAGGCATTTCCGCCCACAGGACTGCCGCATACTGGATGTTTTTCCCTTTTCACACCATTCTTTGTAAACCCAAGAAATGGTTGTGCTTGAAAATCCCAGTAACTGAGCAGATTGTGAAATACTCAGACCGACCCATCTGGCACCAACCATTCCACGCTCAAAATTGCTTAAATCCCCTTTCTTTCCCATTTTGACATTCAGTTTGGAGTTCAGGAGATTGTCTTGATCAGGACCACACCCCTAAATGCATTGAAGCAACTGCCATGTGATTGGTTGATTAGATAATTGCATTAATGAAAAATTGAAAAGGTGTTCCTAATAATCCTTTAGGTGAGTGTATTTGTTTTGTGCAAAAAAAAAACCTTTATTGACATTATAAGTGAACCTAATGGATAACAGTAAAATACAATAAAAAAATCATGTCATCACCGTTTTTCACATACTAAATCTGAAGAATTTATGATCAAATCTGAATTTTGCTATCACCAAGTATTAGATGCTAAACCTTGACCACCTTACTTGCAAAGTAACCACAAAGACCCTGAATAACTAGATCAGGTGTTTGATTAAAGTTACTAAATCCATTATTGTTAAACATAGTCTAATACAGAAGCAATAGTTAAACTGCTTAACACAACTAAAATATGCAAATGTAATAACAAGAAAAGGGTAGTTTTTCTTTTATTCACATTTAGTTCTAGTTCAAGTTCAATCAATACCTTTATTTGTCCCCTCAGTGGGGCAATTGATTTCCCAGCATAGGAGCACACAAACTTACAAACATAAATACAGGTGTAAACTACACCTACTTTTTTAGAAAAGTAGGTGTAGTTTACCTCCGAGTTAAATATTCACTTTAAAATTTTATTTTTATTCAGACATTCATTAATCCTTTTCCGACTAAAAGAAGAAAAGAGGAGAGTCTCTGGATGGAAATGTCTGAAGATCCACCCAGAGATCTATAGGATCAGATGTCTATTTGATGTGGATGTTTACATCTGGAAGACATAGTTTTTAGAGTGATCTGATATACATCTCAAGGACGATTCCTGTCAGATGTTAAATAGACATTTAGAAAACATCTTTAGAATGTAAAACTGACATCTTAAAGACGTTTCTCAGATGTTTGTACACAGAGGTTTTCCAGATGAAGGGCTCTTTAACAGACAACTTGGAGAAGCAGGTGTAAGATTCCTGTACAATTTCTTTCTTTACTGAATTTTGTTTTAGGATGCAATTATAGCAAACAGTTCATTACAAATTGTAATCTTACACATACAGATTTTTAATGTGGTTTTATTATTATTTATAATATTTTAAGATTTCTTTTTCACAACCTTCCAACTCAAATTGGAAGTAAAAGCCTGCAGAACAGTAGGAAGGACACAGTACATCTACTGAAGATATTTCATTTTGTTATTTCTGTTCATATCAAGTATATCGTATTTTAGTACAAGTTTGAACATTTGTTTTTTTTGTGAATCATTTTTGTAAACAATTATCAGTTGACAATTCATGTTATCCTGAATAAGAAACTTAATTAAAATGCTTTATCTTAACATCTATGTAGATCCACCAGATAAATAACTTAAATAAAAAGTTTAATTTAAAAATGTGTGCAATAGTGGATAAAAACAATACTGCATTACAAAAGAAATTATCATTCATATTTTATTAAAACAACGATCCAATCACATAAATTATTCTGTAAATAAAATTGTTTTATATACACATCAGCAATGTACAGAATGAAATGCAGAGTTCACGTAGAAGTTTTAGACTCTTGATCTCTTGTCCACTTTATCAACATGGCCGTTCACCCAGGTGGTCTCTGGATCTACACAGAACGTTTTACCTTTAAATGTCTGAAACCTGATGGGGAAAGGACAAAACAAGATTTAGATCAGAGTGTTTCTTTAATGGAGTGTCTCATTCAGATTGACTTTGCAGTTTGATAATGAAATAATGTTTAAGATGACACTCACACAATGGCTGGTCTGGGACATTCGCTGCTGGTCCGGTAGTAAGACTTCACCTGTTTCACAGGAATCTTCACATTACTGAACTTCATACAGCAGTTTGCCACATTACCGGCTAGGGGAGCTGGAATATGGAGAGAAATATATCACAAATCTACACATGACCATGCATAAAAATAAGATATTTACTCCTGTTAGTAGTTGCTATATTTTTAAATAACCTAAGAAACTAAACCTGACATAAATCATCCGAAACAATTAATTTTATCTTAATTAACATTCAGAGTCCTCACCGCTTGAAGTCATCGGCACAGAGCAGAAGAGAACCAGGACCAGCAGAAACATCAGGCTTCTCATTCTTCAAGATGTTTGTTCACAACGACAGAAAGAGTCTTGTAGAGCTGGAAGATCTCAGATCAGATGTGTCCAGAATAACGTGCGAGCTCCTTCTTATATACATGGCAGGAGAGCAATTCTTCATAAAGACATTCATGTAAATACATTTCTGAGTAACAATATTGTTTGATGCGAGTACATCCTTTTTCTGCAGTGTCTTTCATGTAAGAATTTGGAAGGCCCTTTTCTTTCAGATTCACTGAAAACGTGTTTCAGGAAAGCAACACACGGCTTCCTCTTTTCAGGCTTTGCTCAGTAGTAAATGTAGACTACTAAATCTAAAGATTTTATGATCAATCTGAATAACTGATTTAGGATCAATCTGAATCTGAATAAAGGTGTTTGATTAAAGCTACTAAATCCACTATTTGATAAACTCAGTTAGCACCAAACTATTGTTTAGTGAATTAGTCTAATAGAGAAGCAACACATTTCACAGAACTGAAATATGCTATGTATAAATATACAAATGACATGAAAAGAGGAAGCTTGTCTTGTATTGACAGTACAAGAAAAAAAGGTGTGATTTGCTTTTAAAACAATAATTCACATTTTCTTTCTACATGATGACATTTCTGAAGATCCATCCAAGAATTCCACAGGATGCTTTAAGAAATCATTTGTGTTCCACAGAAACGTCTGTAACACCTTATAAGTGTACAGTAATAATAAAGTACAAATCATTAACAAATTTGTTCTGTTGAGTTGAGTAGAGTCCTGTCATGCTACCACCGGTCTCAAAACCCAGGTTTAAAAGCTAAAATGCATGTTTGAGCCGTTTTAACTGAAAGATCTTAAAATATATTAGTGCCATTGTTTTATATCAAGATTCACACCACTAATGTTTTTTTTCCTTCTTTTTTTTCTAAGGCACATTTGTAAAAGCCACTTAAATTCACTCATTTAACTGTGGCATTACCCTAGCTTAATTTGCATTACTAGTTTTACCGATGCGTTTATTCAAAGTGACTTAATCTAAGTCCTGTCTGTGTGAAAACGGTCTACATAGGCCTGATAAATAATCAATCAATAGATCTTCATGATCATATCTGAATTTTTTGAAGATCAATTTGATTTTATACTTTCTGAAGATCAATCCAGACATCTACAGGGTCCCACAGTGTCCACAAGACCGTGTGTTCCTCTATACTTGATAAAATTGGAATTTACAAAGACCGAACAGAAGCATTACACAAAAATGTTTGGTATGACATTATCTAAATACTTTGCAGACATTTTTTTTTACATGTTGCAGCCTAGCACCCTTCTACCATCTTACCCAATGAAAGCCTTCAGACTGAAACCTTTCATCAGTAGGTGGCAGTAGAGGACTGCAGAACACTACTAGGCGCCATAGGCTACTGAATCAAAAGCTTATCAATGATTTACAGCATTTACAGTATTTTCATATTTATATTTGCCTGTAGTGGTTTTCAGTCATATTTGGATAATTCCCACAAATCTCAAATAGATATTTAAACCATGATTGTAACAACGCCAAAAATAAAAATTAAATAAATAAAAATCCACCACCAGATGTCAGCCGAGAACTCCTCATCTGACTGCCAGTATGATATACACTTTCTTCTTCCACCCATTGGACTTCCCAAAACCATGCATGCGTATCTCTCTCCAGACACATTTATCTGACTTCCATTTTTTAAATGATTCAATGATCAATGACTATGCAATGTAAATGATATAAAGTAGGTTTGTAAAGTATGCACATATATTACACATACTACTAGGCCTATATTAGTAACCAGACTTGAAATCGCAAGGGTCCATGGCCAGAAAAAGTTTGAAAACGATTAAGGCCAAATGATGTTGTTGAGATGGGAATACACAGTATATGATTGTGATATGCCATCAAAATTAGCAGTCAGGGATCTCTGTTGTTTCTCAGAGGTTTAGTTTTAGTCTTAATATTAAAGTTTTGGCCACTGCCTCTACATGGTCAAATCATACAACACACACACAGATCTGGATCTAAAATAGACAGTGCCACTTCCTATATAGCACCAACATGACGTTTGTTTGGGGGGAGAAAAGAGAACTGAGTCTGGTTATATTTGAAGACACCTTCTCAAGTTCAACAGTGAAATACACATGACCACAAACCAGTGTGGTTGAAAATGATCACTCACTGTACGTCACACTCAAACTTTCCATGTACAAAGCAATGGTTTCAGTGGGACGGAACACATTGTATCGCGTGCACGTACAATGACGAGACGTTTAACAATAGTGAAATCAATTATGACGTAAACAGCGCTTACCTCATATTCATGCTCTTCACATGCTGCTTATTTTCAGCGTCTGAGGAAAGCATAGAAAAACATCAAACAGTGTTTCCTGTATGTTTCATAAGGTGTTAAAAGCAGTCAGTGTGTCCTTTCAAACTAGGGTTGATATTATTAGAGTCACGTATTACGTTTTAATAATCGTCCAACTCTATGAGAACAGAAGTGTCCACATCACAACTAGGCCTATAACGATAAGGACACAAATGAACAATATTGTTGGAATCACTTTCTGAAAGATTTTATCAGCTGATAAAAACATTGTGAGCAACATGAAAGACCTCAAGCTTTTAAAGTGACAGACAACACAACTGCAGGAGTGCATAAACGGAAGGTTGGTGTGGATGGACGCTATACGTTATCGTTATGTAGAGTCCAGCGGTTATGTAGAGAGGTTTAGATAAAGGGCTTTGAGTGATTAATTATAAGTATGTAACCTGACGAAAATGTATTTATTCAACGTTGGCATTGTGAACTTTTGTAAAGATAAGTTTAGCCATTAACTTTTAAATGCATCATTATATTTGCAAATTGCAATCACATGAGGAGAGTCTCCACATGAAAGACCCACGACTGCCAGGTGAACATGTTACAACGGTAAGAATTTACTGTAAAAAAAAAAAAAAAATACAGTTTATTGAATTAGATTGAATGGAGGATTTTGTGACAAGATGATTGACAGCAAGGTAACAGGATGCAGGCATAGACAGTAAAAGAACGGGGATTTCAACGGAGAAAAGTGAAGTCGATTAGAAGCACTCATTTCCTGATGGCCGAGCGCACTGTGCAGGCTCAAACTGAGCTTGATGACGTAGATGTGACGTGAGCAACTAATATCTTCTTAATAAACGGTCTGTACTCTTACAAAGTTCTCAAAGCTTCGGTTTGCATGTATGGACCCTCATTATGTTACCGTATTAGTGTTGGCCCATATTGAGCCTTGTTAGTGGTATTAAATTGCGATTTTTATTTTTCATTACGCTATGCCCTATATTCGTTATACGCTAAATAGTTTTTAGAGATAAAACTTTATACATTCGATTATCATGAAAACAATTCTGAGAACGGTTGACTGGGCACCGATGTGTTATTAGACCAAAGGTTCATTTTTCGCTAAAGTTGGACCCTCAAATATGTTAATATGAACGTTAATTAGTTATATCGAAATTCAACAACCTGTGTACAGTAAGTGTGAACTGTGTGAATCATGGCAGTACAAAAGTGTGAAAAAGTCAAATCGAAATCCAGAATTTTTTTTCGAAATCCTTTATTATGAGGACGTTAAGTTTGCAAAAACTTACATAAAGATCGTCATTGATTTTTTTTCTCTAACGACACAATAAAATATTCAAAAAATACTCATAAAATGTTCTTCTATAAATGTCTACTTTGAGCTATAGGCTAATCATCTGCAATACTTTATATCTTTAAGCACAAAACACTCTCATTAGAAATACATTAGTAAAACAATTGACAGACGAGTCAAAAAGATAATCCAAACAACGTACATTCTGGATTGTTTAACCCCATAGCTTCAATATGCTGATCAGTTAGTAACAATGCGTTTGTCGGTGAGTACAATAATTGCATTTTTTCTTCTTTTTCTCTCAGTTTTGCTCTGCTTCCAAAACATGAAGTTCAGAAGTCGAAAGACGCAGGTCAACATGATCACAAGCTCCCCTGGCTCCCGATGCTGCGCATGCCGTCAATGGTCTCCATGTGCTTCTGTACCCATGAGTCAGTGGGTTTGGCACACACCTGGCGGCCCTTTACAGTCTTGAACCTGTAAAGAGAATTTCAGCACAATCAAACACACGTCAACTGCTCTGTTGGTCACACTAGTTCAAATCTACTTAATAATAAATATAATAAACACAATACGATATCCTCCACATATAAACACAGATGTTGTTACACTTACAGTACAGCTTCTTTAGGGCACTGCTGGCTTGTCATGCTGTAATCGACCACTAATTTGGCTGGAAGAGGACGGTCCATAAAGGAGAAACAGCATCTTTGTGGTGAAACACGCATTCCTAGATTGAAGAAAAACGGTCAAAATCTTTAATATGAAACTACATTTTTTTTAACATTTTGTTTAATATATAACTAGACTGTAATACAATATCAACTATGTGTCTCCATACCTTCACTGAGGCTAACTGCGCAGAGAAGCACCGCCACTGCGGAGAAGATGACGAAGCGAGAAGAAGTCATACTGGCTGTTCTGTTTAACAAGATCACTGGATGAACAAAGACTCTTGTTGAAGCTCTTCAAACTGGATTTGATGCTTAATGGCTGAACCCATCAGCATTTATACAGATGGTTCTGTGATGGGGAGATCCCTTCATGGGTGGATTTTGAGGAGGGGGTTTTGATTTTGAAATTCACCCACACAGTATGAAAGTACAGCAGTATCTGTTGTCGTCCGTTTCCCACACGTGATTATGTCCGTCACAAGTCATATTTGTGTTAAACAATACTGTCTCATTTAGGGACAGCCCTAACAGCCGACCTTTCACTTCCTCTTTCGCATGTGGCTTGATATAAAAAAAAAACATTGGAGTACTGAACACAATGTGCCATTATACTAGACAGGAAAATAGATGCAACATGAATTTTGAAGAATGCATATGGAATTGCAGAGGAGGAACACATTTGTCATCTTTCCTAAATAATGTGGATTTTAACCTATTAGCACCACGTTTATAAGGCCCCAAATGCCCCGTCAAGTATCATTTCCTCTTTTAAAAGGGGTGCTAATGAAAAATGTCACATTAATAGAGTGAACTTCTGACAGTTTCGCATGTAGACACGAGTGGACAGTGAACACCCCCTCATCTC